CAGAGCTAGAGAAAAAAGAACTAAGACAAGGTTCTGGTATCTTCCTTAGGAAGAAATATGTTCAAACGTGAATTGCGGAATGGGGAGTATGTAAAATTCGAATGGCTTCTCTATTCACCATATTAAGGTTGTTTTTATTGTGCGTATTGTCCAATAAAGTATTTCCCTTGGCTATATCAGGATTTAAGTACTGGAAGCATAACAATCTAATTGTATACCATGAAAATGGAGTAGTGCAGCGCAAGGACATGATTGTATAGTTTCTTTGACTGAAAGAAGCTAGGTGTTTAGGTCCTTTATTAATCAAAGACCATAGGTCAAAACAGAAGTACTGGCATAAAGTTCTGACTCGTCGGGATTATGTCGTTCGCTTTCTTGCCTCCAGAGGTTTTGTCAGACTATTGGGTCAGTACAATGGAAATTGTTTAGGTATTTTAGAGCTGCTGAGTGAATTTAACCTTTTTTTGGAAGAGTAACTCAAACTGTGTGGAAATGCTGGAAAGGGTAACACATCATATCTGTCGGCAAATATTTGAGAAAAAAAATATTGATCTAATGGCGCAACATGTCCTTTGTGCTATTCTAGAAGAAATTAAAGATTCAAAGTATTATTTAATAATTTATGATTCCACGTCAGACATTTCACACATTGATCAACTGACATTTACGGTCCGGTACATTCGAGGATGTAAGTCTGTGGAACATTTTATTAAGTTAGTTTCCATATTTTCCCATGCATGGAGCAAAGGATCTAACAGACACTGTTGTGTATCGAAGGATCTAGCAGACAATGTTTTGGATTTCATAAATGAGAGCGAAATTCCGCCTTCAATTTGCCGTGGTTAATCGTATGACGAAGCTAAAAATTTACATGTCTGGACGCTACACAGAATTGCAAGCACGAGTTTGCCGTGTATGTCCCTTGTGCTGGACACAGCCTGAGCTTAGTGGGCTTAAAAGCAGCAGAGTATTGTCTACAAGTTGGAAAACTCTTTGACTTTGTTCAGCGCCTATATACCCTTTTCTTGGCGTCCACACATCGATGGAATGTTCTGGCATCTTCCTTAGGAAAGTCTCTCGTTGTCGTAAAGCATCTTTCTGACACAAGATGGTTGGCACATTTTGATGCCGTCAACGTTTCGAAAAAAATACAAGATGCTCTGGACTCTGTATCAGCTGACACTAATCAGGAAAAGAAAAACGAGTCGTGAGGCAGAAAGGCTAAGTAATAAAATGGAGAACCTGATAATTTATCATCATCTGGGATGAATTATAATGTATTTCTGATACTGTTTTAAAACCATTATTGCACTGGAATGATTTTTTTTTATTATAAATAAGTTGAAATAACCTATTTTTAACTTTATTGAATGTTTATTCTTATTTTACAATGTTATTCTTCTTGGTGAGTTGGGAGACCAAAACTGTTTGCGCCCCCCCCCCCAAAGTTGAGCATGGGGCGATTGCCCCACTTTGTCCCCCTTCAAACGACCATTGTGTGATGTGTTGCTGAGGACCTCACTGCATTGTTTATTTTTAACTTTATTGAATGTTTATTCTTATTTTACAATGTTATTCTTCTTGGTGAGTTGGGAGACCAAAACTGTTTGCGCCCCCCCCCCTCCAAAGTTGAGCATGGGGCGATTGCCCCACTTTGTCCCCCTTCAAACGACCATTGTGTGATGTGTTGCTGAGGACCTCACTGCATTGTTGTGCCCAGGGCCCCCTATGTTCTTAAGACGGCCCTGGGCTACACTACAGGAAGTGTGAGGAAGTCAGGGAGGGTCACTAGACTAGAAAGAGACCCCATTTTGATTCTCTGCATATAATTAAATATAACTTGTGCCGCCTACAAAGGTCAAATCAATTTGAAATTTCTCATCACGTAATTTCAGTATTTTCAGATTTCACATGATTAACAAATAGTATAGTATAGTTCATAATCTTACACTCTTAATCTTACTGTCTTACTCGTTCTTATGGGGGAAAAACAACTTTTTACTAAAAAAATAGTTAAAATATTAATTTATGTGCTACTGTCTTTACTGAATTTAATGTATTAAAAATTAATTTAATGCGACAATGTCTGACTTACTACAGACTCAATTTTTAAAACTCGTTCGTTTTTTAAAAATAAATTTTATTTAAATACAGTATTTCCTCCCGATAAATTTAAACGAAGTAATTATTCACAGAGCTGTGCGGATAACGCTCGCCGTTATTCACAGATTTCGGTCTGCCGATAACGCTAAACATTATTCACAGAATGTGATAAATTAATTAATGAATATAAAGTACAAAGTTCTTTATACACATCTCCTCGGTAGAGTAGTGGTCAATGTCTCCGACCGTCACCCAGCAAACATAGGTTCGATTCCCCGCCGGGGAAGCCTCATTTTTATAAATAAAATTTAAAAACAAAATATTTAATGGTTATTTCGTAGTGTTATATTATAATAATATTCTTCCTATAGCTTTCTTTTTCTGTTCACATAGTTTTATTGTTATTTTCATATAGTTTTGTTACTTATGTTACAAGTTTCAATCTATTTTGTTAGAATGTTCATTCAAGTTTCGTTAAAAAAATGTAAACAACATGGACATGCAATATGCAGATCAGCCGCATAAACCATGTTTAAGTCAGATACAGCTGTTCTAACTGTACATTGTGATATACTTTTAGCTCTTTTGACTGTTTAATTTTCTTTGTATAATTCCACTCATAGACTTTAACATCCATTTGTTTTACTTTTAGCTCTTTTGACTGTTTAATTTTCTTTGTATAATTCCACTCATAGACTTTAACATCCATTTGTTTTTTCTCTAATAAACAAATACTTATTAATAACTTACTTATTCAAATATTTTAGATCACAGAGTTGTGTATTAATGTTTAGCTGAAAAAATATGTCACGTTTTATTTGTTTCATTTTATTTTCTAATAAGTATCATAATAAGTAGGGACACAATATGCCGCTCCAGAAATAGTTGAAATAACACTTAGTGATGACAATGAAATGAAGATACCGGTACCGTACTTAAAACATATCAATATCATTGACATCAACAATTTTAGCTCTTGTCAAAAAAATGTTGATAATTGAAACAAAAAGCCATACTGCCACTGTTGTAACTATGTGTCTAAAAACAAAAAGCCATACTGTCACTGTTGTAACTATGGGTCTAAAAACAAAAAGCCATACTCCCACTGTTGTAACTATGGGTCTAAAAACAAAAAGCCATACTGTCACTGTTGTAACTATGGGTCTAAAAACAAAAGGCCATACTGTCACTGTTGTAACTATGGGTCTAAAAACAAAAAAAAGCATTAAAAAATTTGTTGGAAACTTGCTGGTCGTAGGATGCATTGCGAGTCTTGGGGAAGTAAAGTTCCCCTTCAGATCATATTGGCCTACCCATGGCCATGGGGAAATTGAAGCAGCGTTTACAAGTTTGAGTGTATGGCCAGCGCAATAACCAGCCAGCTTTACTTTTGACCAGCTAATGCCAGAGCTGGGTAGACTAAGGGACACGCTCAAGGATGAGGAAAAAATACTAGCCTTAAACTTTAACAGGATTACATTCTGTTATTATCAATGTAGGGCCAATATGCCCCTCCCCATCTCTCACATGGCCACCTGATGCAGCCACCTCTCTGCATGGGCTATTCCTGACAGAACAATTCTAGACTAGGTGATATATCATAGGGCTTTTAAAACACTAAACGATACCCTATCAAGCTTTGACATCATTTTAAGACCTCTCTACAATGGGTGAAAGTGAGTCTACACGAAGAATACCGGTACGGGTACAATTTTTATTACTGGTATAATATTTAATATGAAATACCAGAAAATTAGTTATGTCTAGGAGTAGGAGGTTTGACTGGATCTATTAGTAACACTCTATAGGTCGAATAGACCCTGTGTTGGCCCCTAACAGAGCAGATGTAGGCACAATTAATTGTCCTATATCCAATATATAGGCTATAGTTAGGCCTATTAAATTTTTAAAATTTAATTTGTGCATAGCTTCGGTTATGAAATGTGCTTGTGCCATACTCATTAAAGATTCTTTAAAGATCCAAATCTCCTACACTACTTAAAACTACACCCCCACCCCGGCTTGGAATGTGATCTAGAAATGTGAGTACTTATGTGATCATTTCTGTCTAACAATAACGCTCTGCATTATAGACCCACTAATTATCACCCAATAATAAATTTGTATGCGTACATGGGCGCCCGCAGTTAGGGGCAAGTGGGGGGCACTTACCCCCCCCCCCCTTAGATTGAATGGAAAAATTTAGACAAAAAATGTATTAAAGTAAAGAGAAAATAAAGAGAAAGTAACTAAGCTGATGTCCTGTCCGTTCGTTCACCATACAAATACGCTACAGTAAATTAAGACTATATTAAAACATTGCTAAAAAATTTTGCCCCCCCCCCCAGAAAGTTAATCGATCCCCCCCCCCCCGAAAGTTTTCTGCGGGCGCCCATGTATGCGTATACTGATTAAGCTAAGTAACTAAGTATATTACTTATACTACAATTGTGTATATACTTTATACTGCATAATATTTAGTATAGTAATAGGCTATTACTATTATACTACCGGTATACAGATATTACCATACTAATATTAGTAATAAATGTGCCCTTTTTTTATAATTGATAGTGAAAAAAATTCGATAATAACTCATGACGGTTCAGTATACTAATAGTAATTTTAATATTAATAATAATAATGAAGTTCATTTCAAAAACACGCTTCATCCCCAAAGGCTCGAAGCGCGGTACAATGTCAACAAAATACAAATCTATAATTTACCACATTTAAAACAAACGCAACTCTACAAAAACTAATTACTAGCATACAATTGCAAAGTCTTTCTAGCCATTTCAACCCCAATATTAATAGCCTACATCCAACAATAATTTTTCACCAGTCTAGATCTAATGCATTATATGATTATTCGCAGATTTCGGTCTGCCGATAACGCTAAACATTATTCACAGAGCTGTGTGGATAACGCTCGCCGTTATTCACAGATTTCGGTCTGCCGATAACGCTAAACGTTATTCACAGAGCTGTGTGAATAACGCTTCCCAAATTTAAAAGTTGATAAAGGGAGAAAATTCATGTTCTCCGTTTTTAAAAATGGCGACCCCCAACAATGATAGTGGTGCTAGTGCAACACCACATCTTGTTGATGATTTTGAGGCTGCTTTTCAGGTTAGTAATGCATCTTACTTCCTATTGCATGTTAATTTAACCTTGATTTTACACCAGTTTACAGACTGAGTTGGACACAGTCATGTACGCTTTGCTCTTTTTCTGAGCAGTCTCAGCTTTTTGTAACTTGTTTCTTTGTTTATGTTCTTAGTCTGGACTTAGTTATCTTAGCTTAGATTGTTCATAATTTATTATAGTATAGTATTAGTTTTATTATTAGTCATTAGTGAAGTCTGTGTCTAAGTTACTAGTACTAGACAGTAAAATAAAAGTAAATGCCCAAACTCTAAACTAAATAAAAGTAAAGTGAAAATTATAAGATAAGCACCCACTGAGAGTGAGAGTGAGAGAGATGACAAGACAATGATTACAATGACAGTCAAATTGAATTGTTTTTAGTTTTTTTTTAAAATTTAAATATTAAAAATAATTATAGGAATTTAAGTATCTGAATCGGTAAGTAGGTCTAGACATTTCTTCAGACAAACAGAATTTTACTCTGTCCCAGTCCAAAGTTCAAGCAATATAATTCATAAAATTCAAATATTTTGTGCATAGCCTAGTGCCTAATATAATTAATTATAATTCATAAATGCTGATACTGATAAATTAACAGTACACACTGTAACACAGCTATCACTCACTGAGTTTGACACTCAGTTAACTTAGACTTGTAAGCCTATCTTTATTTTATAATACTAGCGAATATACCCGGGGTTGCATTAGGACCCCATCCCGGTAAGACCCCAATCCCAATGGGACCCCAATCCCATTCTCACCACGATCCCGTTGCAATCCCTTTTCCCGGTGTGATCCCGTTCCCGGTGGGATCCCGTTTTCTTGTGGCTACGATTCCAGGGGAAATCCCGATCCAGTCGGTGTCTTGATCCCAGTGGGATCCCGATGTCGGTGGATCCCGATGGACTAACGATTCCGTTAGGATACTGTACACTGTTGGATCCCGTTCCACCTAGGTACTCTCTTTTCCGATATTATCTCTTTTCCCGATATGATCCCGATCCGGGTTTGATCACGTTGCCTGGTGGGATCACGATGGGATCTCGTAACCGATGGGTTTTAGTTTACTGTTAGATCTCAATTCCCATTGGGATCATGTTCACTGCGATTTTGTTCAAATAAGTTTTTAAATTCCATTTAATATCACAGTGGAACAATAAAGAACCTTATGGAACATTCTAGATTAAATTTAATAATAAAAAAAGTATAAAAAATTACTTTTCTAAATAATTATTTTTAAAATAAGAAATATTATACAACTAATTTGCACTACTATAACTATAGTAAATTTAAATTAAAATAGGGACCCCGGTGGGGGCCCATTTAAAAAAAGTACCTTTTTAGTTATGTCTAAGATATGGGGGGGGGGCTATAAAAATCATTCAAATAAATTATAGAATTAAAATGTAAAATTTGTCCCATTAAAATCGGTTTAAAAATGCCATAGATATAGCTTTTTAAAATTATTGAACTTTCTGGAAAATTCTAGAATGGATATTATTAGTTTTAAATCCACCGATATTTCAATACAGGCAATGAAGGGTATTGCTGCAACATTAGACCTATATCCATCAATTCATATTGAAACTATAGTGTTGTCTAAGCCTATTGATATTCATATAGCCTATATAAAAAAAAATGAAACGGGGCCCCCGGCCCCAGAAGGATGGATATTATGAGTTCAATACCCTTTGGTATTTGAATATGGATAATTAAGTGTGTGTGTAATAAGTTTGGTCAAGATCCATCTATTCATGTAAGAGTAGGAGTATTAAGCTTATTGATTTTTATATAGCCAATATAAGAAAAAGTTAAATGGGGCCCTGGCCCCAGACGGATGGATATTATGAGTTCAGTACCCTTTGGTATTTGAGTATGGATTATTAAGTACATGTTCTTAGTTAGGTCAAGATCCATCTATTCATGATGTAGTATTTGTTGTTAATTTTATTTATATAGCTCATATAAGGAAAAAAACGAATTCGGGGCCCCCGGCCCCAAACGGAATGTTATAAAAAGTTCATAACCCCTTAAGAGTTCCTTCTGGATTATGATGGATACATGTGTCAAGTTTGGTCAAGATACATCAATCCATGTAAAAGCCTTTGTGGAACAAACACCGCCCGCCACAAACATTCACCTTTATATATATACTAGCCTATATACCTGGCATGGCCCAGGATTGCATTAGGATCCCATCCTGGTGGGACCCCCAATCCCATTCTGACACCAATCTCGGTGCAGTCCCGTTTCCCGGTGTGATCCCGATCCCATTCTGACACCAATCTCGGTGCAGTCTCGTTTCCCAGTGGATCCATTCAAGGTTAGGATCCCGATCCCGGTGGGATCCCATTTTCTGGTGGGATTCTGATCCCTTTGGGATAAAGATGAAGATGTGATCCCGACCCATTTGGGATCCCGTATCAAAAAATTCTTCAGTGGTATTGAGAGAACAGTAAACTCCGGGGCAGTATAGAAATGAATAGAACTAACTAAAATTTCAATAATACCTTAGATCCCACGATATATTCCCTTGTAACAATTTAGAACTTTCTGGAACATTCTAGATTAAATTTAACAGCCTGCTCGAAACATGTGTAAAAACTACTTTTCTAATTATTTTTTGAATCCGATACAAATCTTCAACAAATGTCATAAATATAATCCTTTTTCTTTTATGTTACCGTACCGGTAATCAAGGGGGCCCATTCCATAACTGTTCCAATTTAGTTATTTCTGAGATGGGGGGGGGGGGGGGGGGGGGGATAAAAATCATTCAAGTAAATAATAGAGTTAAAATTTGTCACATTAAAATGAGTTTAAAAATGCCATAGATATCACCTTTTCCAACTATCGAACTTTCTAGAAAATTCTAGATTGTCCCTGCATGGATTGGATATTCTTAGTTTTAAATCCACAAATATTTCAATATGGACAATGAAGTGTAGGCCTATGGCTACTATGCTATGCTTATATCGATCAATTCACATAGAACCTATATGTTGTCTAAGCCTATTGATATTTATATAGCTTATATAAGAAAAATGAAATGGGGCCCCCGGCCCCCTTACGAATGGATATTATGAGTTCATTACCCTTTCAGTATTTGAATATGGATAATCAAGTGTAAGCATTCTAAGTTTGGTCAAGATCCATCCATTCATGTAGGGGTATTTTTAGTAATTTTATTTATATAGCTCATATAGAAAAAAACGAATTCGGGGCCCCCAGCCCCAAACAAAATGTTATAAAAAGTTCATAATCCCTTAAGAGTTCCTTCTGGATAATGATGGATATATGTGCCAAGTTTGGTCAAGATCCATCAATGCATGTAAAAGCCTTTGTGGAACAAATAGAAAATCCCACAAACTTTCACTTTTATATATATATATATATATGATATGATATATGATTATTGTTTAATTATTATCTAGTTACCTACTCTAGAGTCTCTTGTATTGTAACAGAGCCTACTCATAATCATAGGCCTAGGTCTAGGTTAGTAACTAGGTCTAATTTGATGACATCACATCACTAATCACTCTCAGTAGTTATAGACCTGTTTACTCTTACGATTTTGGCGTATGATGTACTATTTTGAGGTGTATACATTATATATAATTTGTTAGTATGTTTATTTTTTTTTGCTGTTAATATAATGTATTGAATGATTTTGTGATGATATTGTATGATTTTAAGAGTTTGAGGGTAAACAGGGCTGTAGTTACCGTGTCGGCAGTATCACAACTATATTCAGAACTTCTTATATATGCCTATATGCAGAAACCTTATCATGCCTTATATCATTTATATGACATGATGAAAGTTTATTAGCCTATTAGTATTAATTTAATTATAATTTTAATGTCATTAAATATGAAAACTTGAAAAATAAATGTTGCTTTGGGCAGGGCAAACGGGGCATTAAGCACAAAGCTGTTGTTTTTTTATTTTTTTTAGAAATTGATTTCTTCACAATTAAGCCCATGTTAATTCTTTAAACCGAGAATAACACATTGCTCACAAATAATAACTTTTACTAGGGGACTCGAGTGTATTTTAAAGTTTATTTGATTTTTAAAATAATACCCTTAAAAGTTGAAAATGTGTATTAGGCACCAGGCCTTGAGGCATTAGGCACCTTACATGTTTTGAATTAAAAAACACACATCCAGTCTTTGTTTTCCAGCTCTTCTATTGTTGATATAATTTACACACACTCTATGTGGTCCCAGTATCACACTTGTCACACTATGATCCCCCCCACCCAATGTCCCCATCTAAGATTTTCCTCATTATCTTTAGTAGGACTCAGGCTGCAGCTAGTGTTTAGAGAGAACTGGCTGTATTATGGATAGTCTGAAAGTTTCTTGTAGTTCATCAGAGTTGTTGCAAGTGTTCACACATACTCACATGGACATGAATGGTTGGGTCTCCTGTAGGTTGCGAATGGGTGGACATTGATGGTTATAAGGAATTTCACCAGACTTGAGTCAAAACTAATACTTTTTGTTAATGCTATAATATGAACAATTTCTTTGGCCTCCGGTTCCTTTTTTTTTGGGTAACTTCCTACCATCCTGCAATTGAAAAAACATGGGACAATTAGCATATTTACTCCAGAAATATTATGGGAGCCCATATTTACCCCAATAACTCATATCTCAAATCCTAACATAGTGACAAGAGTTTATTTAATTTAAACTACTAAGTAAGGCAATATATTTTTAAAATTAAATCACCTTTCATGGTCTTATTGAAGCTATTTTAGCCTTGGGGTATTAAGCACCTGGCTTGGAATATAAGCCATAACTTTTTGTCACAAAGTAAACTAGTGAATCAAATTAATGTAGAAAAATAGTTTTAAAAAAATATAATCATTAAAACATGTGGTAGGGTACAAAAATTAATTCTCTAAATCAAATAAAATTTTGCAAACATGGTTACACCCTAACAGTTTTCCAAAATAAATATGTTGGCATGGACTATCAAGGAAGAAAAGAATTAATATAAAAGCGAAGGCAAGAATTGAATTTTTTGAAATTTTAATACTTACCTTAATAACTGCTTGAAGCCTTGAACAAACGTGTGTGTTGACAAAGGCAAGTGTGTTTACAACAAAAAAACAAAAAAAGGTAGTCAACTGTGGACCATGCGGCAGCACAAAAAGTTCTGATAGAGGTTTTTTTGTGTCAGAGCTTTCTAGAGGAAAATTGATGCTTCTCAATTGTTATTGAAAAGACTGTTCTGTTGGTCAAGTGTTCAATATGTGGCATGACACAAAGTCTCTAATTGGTTTAAATCAGTAACCAATTCTGCTTAATGCCCCTTAAGTGTCTTGGTCATTTTATAGAGGGTTTTGGACAGCATATGTGTTTGGTGGTGCCTGACACTTAAATTTACATGTCTAATAATTAATTTAAAATTGTTCAGAACTGTATATCTTTGCTGACTTCACAAGAAAACTTCAATGTTCAAGACACAGAAGAAACAAGAATGAGTAAGTAGATTTGTACTGTAGGAGTTTGGGTAGTGACATAATTACTAAATTTTTGCATTTTTCAGCCACAGTGGAAGATCTTTGTAACCAAAATATGACTTTCTGTTGGCATAACAATCTCTTCTGAAAAGTGATCAAAGGGTACCAGTATGTGGGAAAATAATGCTTGACAAATGTAGCTCATGTTAGCCCTCTTGAGACGGCTGGGCCAATCTATCGACCTAGATTGTTGTGGCGAAAAACATGAAAGGCCGATATATCTGCCCAATAATAAAAGCCTCAAGATTGGCTGGCTGGTCTTTGTACTTACCAACTAATCACATTGCTTCTTGAATTTTTAGCTCATCTCACCATTTTAATGGCGGCTTTCAATGATACTTTACAGTGTTCCGTCAGTTTTATATCAATTTTGTTTTGTACCTAGCGACCCATGTAAATGCTTAAAAAATATGTGACCTTGAAATTTGTCAAAAGGCATAAGCATCCTCAGGAGTATATTTGTATGCAGTTTTTCACATTGAATCTCATTCAAATATGGGTTATGACTTTTTTTAGGTTTCAGTAATCATAAAATTTATCAAAACTCTGCAAGTTAGACAATTTTCTTCTAAGTGTACCAATAAAAACAAACTTGCATTAATTATACAAATCAGGATATTGCATTCACATAAATATTGAGATGTGAGTTTGATTCATAGAGAGAGTATAAGTTATTTCAATTCCCTACAAGAATGTACATAGTTTTATATTTGTAAAGTAATTAGTTTATTTTTTATTAATTTTTTTGCAAAGTAAGTGCAGGGCTTGTTAAAAGGGCTTCATCTTTTTGGCACAGACAGTCCAAAAAGTCTCTCTCTCAAAAGGGTTAAATTTGATCCTTTGTTAATCACTGCAAATGACTATGCTTAACTATAAATTCAAGTACAAAAACATTACCTATAACTTTATGATTTACCTAATTTTCTTTAGAATAATTTGAGAAGTCAAATATAAACAAATTGTTATAAGGAAATTTGGTTTTGTTTCAGGTTACTTTCATGAATTGTTTGGATATATATTTTATGGTATGATTAATTAGTTCAGGGTGACAGCACTATGCTGTAAAAAAAAAATTCAAACATCATGAATAAGGATATACATTACACAATGATCTTTTATATATTTTTAGGTGTAGAAAGTAGTTTACAGCGGTTTTTGGAATCAGCAAGGCAAATGGAGACTTTTTTCCTGAACAAAAGATTGATATTATCAGTTTCTAAACCCGAACATGTATTAAATGAAGTAAGTTGCAAAATTTTATATAAACTAATTGCTTACTAATATGATTGAAAATAATGTCACTACTGTTTCTTATTAATTTCATTATTAAAATAAAAGACAATGATATTTTGCATGCTTCTTTGAAAACAGTATGTACAAACAATGTTTCTTCTTTAAAACTCACTATCAAATTTAAAAGTCTGTAAAATATGGTTAGCAAAAGTTGTCTATATTATACTTGCTATCTAGCTTAAGAAGTTTTGGATATTACAATATTACTAGTTTATGGGGAGCAAAATAAATATTAAAGGTCTAATAAATCAATGCAAAACATGTAAATTAGTGATTAAGAGTGTTTATTTCCTTTCCCTGATCTATGATATAAATAATATGTATATCATTATTATTGATTTATTTCAAACAAGCCTGTAGAATAAGCTGAAGCCCTTTAACTAAAACAGAAAAGATACCCATCATTTATCAGTTAACTTCATTGCATTTATAGGAACATATCAAATCAATGTCTAACTTTTATATTTTAAATTGATTCTTTCATGTTTAATTTATAGAACTTTTTTAAAATTACATAATTTTACAAAAACAATATTTATTTTTACATCTAATCAGGATATTTCAGATTTAAAGATTGAACTTGAACGTAAAGAAAAACTCATTGAAAAACATCATGAGAAGCTACCTAAATGGCAAGCTCTTCTCCGAGCCAATGCGCCTCCCCCAACAACTACACCATCTAGTCCATTTTCTGGCACTCAGGCACCACCTCATCAGACAATGGCTCCTGCACCATCTATGCAGCCTACAAATGTAGGTCAACCCATGGGAGTCTCTCCTGCTCAGACTATGATGAGCCAGCAGGCATCCAATATGCCACCAGGACAATATCCAGGACCCCCTGCTGGCCATCCAGGGCAGTACAATATGCCACCTCCAGCTTATCCCCAGGGACCACTTGCTTATTTGGAAAGAATGGTATAATGTCTGACAGCTCATTGACTGGCAATTTCATAGAAATATCAAACTTCATTCTTGAAAGCATGATGCTTCATCTTAAACTTTAAATTTAATAATTAATGTGTATATATATCAGTGAATATATATATAGAGAGAATATTGATACTGTATAGTAAAGGATAACAAATGTAATGGAATGTGTCTCTAACCCCTTGCAGTCAATGCAACTAAAAGTTCATTAAAATGTTAACTCACTTTCACTCAAGATAAAAACGGTTTGTTACAGATATGAAAAGTGAATAATTTTATATAAATACTAATTATTTTATGAATATTTAAATATCACTAACTATGTAGCATTGACCAAGGGATTGTTTGGTTTTTGTATTTTTTCCTGTGCTTAGATTTGGGTAAATGAAATAAATTTCAATTTTACAGTTTATTCTCTAAAGAAAATTTTTTCTAGATTTAATTATTATTTGAAATAACTAAAATCATTTAAAGTTAATTTGAAAACAATTATTTAAAGCATTCTCTTTTCTTGTACTCGGGTGAACTTTTTTGACTAAACTGTCATATGAGAAGTATTTTTTTTTTTTAAATTGTTGTCAGTTACATGCAAGGATTTTGTTTTTTGTGTTTCAGTATGTATCTAAAATTTTTCTATAAATGTAAATAATTTTTAATAAAAGTAATTATTTAATGAAATAGTATTGTCTTTAAATTAATTATTTCTTTGTAAATTTCCTTTTTTTACTGATTTATAAAAAAATGTATGTGCTTTACCAGTAATTAGTACAACTGTTTATGAGGATAAACTTGCTGCCTATGTGATCTCCATTACCATCTATTAAATTTTTTATGTGCACGAAGATTTCATTTAATTCATCAATAAAATGCTGGATTAAGGATTATCAGAGGGATTTATTTGCTTAAGTTTACACTTATCAGTGTTACTTCTTTTTACTATTTTTTTTATCCCAACCTCTCACTGCAGGGTCCAAAGAGCCACTTTGAAAAAGTATATCTATTGTCTGTAATTACAATCAACATAGATCCAATTATTTTAGCTGCAGAAACCTCAAGCAAAATTTTTATTTTTTAGTGAAAAAATCGCCATCTTTATTAGATCACAATAGTTTAAGTAAATTTCCCTGATTTGTTTCATGCAAATTTAACAAAAAATTAAGCATCATTTTCTTAGCTTTTAAAAACCAAAGTTTCACCTGTTCAAGGTCTGTTAGATCTAATGTTTTGTTATGTTTGTTTCATTTTGCCATATACTTGATTATTAATACAGATAATCTTAACAAAAACTTATATACAGTATAATACATGACAATTTAATGTGCACATCATGCAAAGACATGTCTGCAGTGGTATTGCTAATTAAATTCCACTTTTCAAGATCACAATCGATGTGAACATACAACAGTAATGTAAGACAATTTTAAGAAGTCATTTATGTGCGCATACAACAGTAATGCAAGGCAGTTGTGAGAACTCATATTGATGTGAGCATACAACAGTAATGCAAGGCAGTTGTGAGAACTCATATTGATGGGAGCATAATACAACAGTAATGCAAGGCAGTTGTGAGAACTCATATTGATGGGAGCATAATACAACAGTAATGCAAGGCAGTTGTGAGAACTCATATTGATGTGAGCATACAACAGCAATGCAAGGCAGTTGTGAGAACTCATTATAATACAACAGTAATGCAAGGCAGTTGTGAGAACTCATATTGATGTGAGCATACAACAGTAATGCAAGGCAGTTGTGAGAACTCATATTGATGGGAGCGTACAACAGTAATGCAAGACAATTGTGAGAACTCATATTGATGGGAGCATACAACAGTAATGCAAGGCAGTTGTGAGAACTCATATTGATGGGAGCATAATACAACAGTAATGCAAGGCAGTTGGGAGAACTCATATTGATGTGAGCATACAACAGCAATGCAAGGCAGTTGTGAGAACTCATATTGATGGGAGCATAATACAACAGTAATGCAAGGCAGTTGTGAGAACTCATATTGATGGGAGCATACAACAGTAAGGCAAGGCAGTTGTGAGAACTCATATTGATGCGAGCATACAACAATAATGCAAGGCAATTGTGAGAACTCATTATAATACAACAATAATGCAAGGCAGTTGTGAGAACTCATATTTCCATGATTAAATAATCTTTGTTATGATAATTGTGTTTTACATAACACTTAATTGCAGCAATGCAAATGTATACATGTGTCCAACATTGTATTTGTCAAGTCATTTGACATTGTACTTCATGGCTCGTGCCCCCCCCCCTCCCCCCATGCTTTTAAGTTATATTTCCGTAACAACTCTGAAGTTTTGGGGGACATTTATTTTATACCTTTTAGTACAATTTTTGGAGAAGCATGTTTTTAAAATTATTTTTGTATATATTTTTATTTATTCAAATCTTAACATATCTTGTTCCGCTATTTATTTACTTCACACATTTTCAACGCAGTCCGCTGTATAATTATCCTTTTAAAAAAAAGAAATCATTATTTTTATAGAGACATTTTGGTACTTTTTAGTCTTAGAATGTGTAATAAGAGAAGTAAGTGAGTTGAAACATATGACTAAAAAAGCATGTCGTGTCAATGAAACACAAACATTTTAAAGGTCACTGGTGACCTTTCTGTTGTAACAATGTGGATTCTCATCATTGATTGTAGTGAAACCCTGATGAGCCTTTAATTTTTCATGGTCCTGAGATATCCACAGAAGGTCACTCAAGGGTTAGTGGAAGGCACTGGTTACTGGTATGAAATGTTGTTTTGTCATCAGGGTGGGTAAGTGTACTAAGTTTCTGCTTAATTGGACAACAGGAAGTGGTTCCAGATTGAGATCCAAAATAGAGGTCACTCAAGGTTAAATGGAGGTCACTGGTGACCTACTGATCATGAAATTTTTATTTTCCTCCCGGGTGGATAAGTGTTCAAAGTCCCAGCTTCATTGGACATCAGGAAGTGGGTCAAAATTGAGATGCAAGATAGAGGTCTTTCAATGGTAACTGGAGGTCACTAGTGACCTACTGATCATGAAAGATTTTGTTGTCATTAGTGTGGGGGTGTTAAGTGTACAAATTTTCAGTTCAGTTGAAAAATCAGGAAGGGCGTCAAAATTGATATGCAACATAGAGGTTACTTAAAGTGTAAGTTGGGGTAACTGGGACCTACTGATGAAAGGTTTTATTGTCATGGGCGTTTATAAGTGTACAATGTTTCAGCTCAAGTGAACATCAGGAAGTTGGTCAAAATTGAGATGCAAGATTCCACCACAAACAAACAAAATGACAAAGCAACCTAATAAAAAGCACATTAAAAAGAGAGAACCTTTAAACTGACATTTTGGCTTAGGGACCTCTTCACCAGACAATACAAAACAAGAAAAACAAATCATTAGAACTGTTCCCAAATAATAATGTAGCCTTCTCAGTCTCTGTTGGAGAAATTTGAGGGTACGTTATTGCTGTACACATTTGGTTCCGTGTGGGGGAGGGGGGTGTGCTGCTTAAAGTTAAAGTAAGTTAGAAACACTCTGCGCAATTTACTATTTAATTATCCAAAGGTCAACCGACAAGATAAACATTGCATGGTTACTTGGTGCTACGACCAGTTGTTGCTGCATAATAAAATCATGACTATAACTACTATGACACAATATTTGACAAACTGGTCGGGCCTGGTCTCTGCTTGCTAGGTTGTTGTTTTTTTACCTTTGTTTGTGGGAGAAATTGGTGGTATTTATTTTCTTGTAATACTTTGAAACACTGAGAAGTGTTTTTTAGGAAAAAATTTTATGTTAATGTGACCAAACTAATTTAAAGTTATTTATATATAGGCATACAGCCTCTGACGAATTGCTCTGAAAACTTTTAGTAGAAAAGCAGTACGTTTGTAGTTGAATAGCCAGTCAATTTAACCGGAAATGTATGTTGATTATCTGCAACAGTGAATCACTGGAATAAATAAAAAAATCTTTTTTTACGGAATTAGCTTATAATACTACTTATATTATAGCTTATAGTTATAGGTACGTCAAATCAAATTAACGAATGAATATATTTATTTGAGTACATATTCGTCTTCACTTTCACCTAAATAACGGTCAGCAAATGTATATGATAGGTTACGTCTACGTTCAATTCAATATCATTGATCATTCGTTTGTTAATTTGTTATCTAGTAGGCGCCTATTATTTATAACTAATAATTACTAATATGAGTTTTATAATTGTTAAGTATTTATTAATATGTATTAATTATTAATAAAACTTAATAAATTCAAGCTATATTGTGTAGGGGTAGGGTAGGCCATGAGCCCTAGCTACTTACTAGTACTAGCACTCGTAATGTCTAGTTACTAGTATTTATTTAATTTATAGTCTTGAAACTTAAAAAATACAGTTTTTAATTTCAAATTTTTTTGTGTCATTACTTTTACTTGTGTTGTTGGACCTATGACTATTTAAACTATATAGTTAATAGTATAATATACTATATTATAAAGGCATAGTTTTTAGGCCGTGTCTACACGTCCGGCGCGCCGGACGTATATCTCCCGCACTATTAGTCCGGCGACCAAGTGACATGACCGCCGTAACAAAGTGGCGTGAGATATCTTGTCGGCCAGCCTTGTCACGTGACTGCGAATGATTCAAAACTATTGTTAATTTTAAAATCTATTTCTCTACCAAGTAATGTACTGAGTATCTTGAATGCCAATAATAGAAAAAAACTTAAGTGAAAGTGGCTTGTAAACATTTTTGTTTAGTTTGTTATTTGAGTTTGTGTATCAGTAATCTATAAAATAAATTGGGGCAAGGGCCAGTATGGAGTAGGCAAAAAATAAAAGTAAAAGAGTTCATTTTAAATTGTTTCAATTGCTACAAGCTATTTAAAAACTTCTCATGAAACTACTATTGCTGATGAACATGATAATATAAATATAGTATAAAATAGTTTTAATTGAAATGGGAAAAAAAAACGATCCTATACCAGGTATTGATCCTCAAATCATAATAACGTCAAGCGACCACTCTACCACAAGACCACACAATATCTGCCTAATTGCACTTCGTTCAGAATAATAACAACTACTAGGCGTCTGGCGGTCATGTGACATGCCGCCGGACTTATATCTCGCGCACTATTTGTCCGGCGCGCGCCGGACCTGTAGACACTTCGTAGTTTTTAGGCTTGGCCTGCACGTAAATTGCTAAAATGCCTCTCTATGCCTATATAACAAAACAATCATTATATAATAATAATTATTAATTTTATTATAAAATTATTATTTTAATTAAAATTGTTGTCATTCACCCTCTTCCCTTGTTGGCGTTGCAAGGTCACTCTAGTGCATCTAGTTTACAGTACCAGTAAATTATTTCTAATCCCCTGACATTCTCAGAGTAAGACTCAGTGTTTAGGTCTAGGACCTGCTACTAAGTTAAAATCAAATGAGCTATTCCCCTCCTCCACCCCACCCCCCAAACCAAAGTATTGATATTAAGTCAATTTTACGAATAAGTGATTTTTAAATAAGTGATTAGGTTGGACAAGTTAAGCCCTCAGAATAATAATAATTGGGGTTTTCAAGGGCTCATTTCGGTACAATAATTTCAACACTTCATGTTTCAGCCCTTTTACTGACAACCCGCCATGGCATTGTTATCAGATTATAATTTAACCTAATCCAATATTTAATCATTTTGGTGCGCAGTTTGAGTATGTAAACAAACTCACACCTGAGGCTATGCAAGGGAAGGGGGCAATTGCAGTTCTTCACTGGGTGTTCCCACATATCTGACAAACAAAATACCTAAAATTTGTCTATGGGCAGTAAAGAAGGTGAAATTTTCATTTTATTGTTTGCGGCCATACATAAATGATGTCGCACAAATTTTGCTGATTTTTTTACCTAAATTTTCCTATTTTTTTTCCCCCCCCCCCCCTCTCCCAAATATCACATCACAAATCTCTGCCCCCCCTCCCCCCTATGAAAAGTCCCTGTGTCCACTGCTGTCCTTTACAAACCCTTAAGAAATTCACCTCCTGTGGATATCAATGAATGCACCTGTATCAGAAACATTTCACTAGAACAGTGGTTCTTAACCAGGGGTAAAAGTACCTCCCCAGCCCTGAGGTGTGGAAGACCAGAAAATTGTATTCAGTGGCATAGCTAGGGGTGTGTGGACCACACCAGGTGACACCATCTCAAGGGGTGACACCAAATTTAAAAATTGTGCATTTACAGAGCACACACTGCTCGGTCTAACCAGAATTCATAAAAGGATAACAGAAGACACATACATTTTCCACTCATGTAACCAGTCAAAATGCGTGTTTCATTAAAATTTCAAGGTTGGTGTGTCAGCAATCAGGTTACCTTATTATGAGGTCAGAAACACACCGTTTTTACCATGTTTCAACACCAAATAAAGTGTTCGATAACTTTTGTAAGTGACAGGATGCTATATTTATCTAAATTCTGAGAAATAAAACTATCCTTTGATAACAATGGACAATTCTAAGTACAAGTTACAGTTCTTAAATACATTTAACTCGTGACCTTCAATTAATTTATTTTTGTTCTTGTATTTGTTACACTGTGGACTAAGTTTAACATGAAGAATTACATCGTGGAAAGACCGGATGACACCAACCCTAGCTACGCCACTGATTGTATTTGCTGCCATTGCTAGTTGTTGCGGCTTTAAAAAAAAAAGTTTTAATGCATTTTGATAAGCAATAGTAGATGTTTTTCTGGTGAATTTTGTTTGTGCATTATTACTTTTATTTGTAATTTTTTTTACGTTTTGTTTATAAAAAGTTAATTAAAGAAATAAAACTATGATAACTAAATTATTTAATTATTTTAAATTTTATTACAATACAAATTATACTGTTTGGGGAGGGGGGGGGTGTTTTAAAACAGAGTGGGCCTGCAGCGCTCCTAAAAAGGTTAAGAATCCCTACCCTAGAGCTCTTGGTATGTCCTCTCCATTAAGTATTTCTTTGTGATGATGTTTGGCCATTTTATGTTTAGGATCAAGGTAAGTGTTTGTGACCATCTGTACTTTCTACCTGATTTTTACTGTTCTCCAAAATTTGGTTCTATAGCATAGGACTGTTTTGACATTTTTGTTGAAAATTCTAAATTTTAGTTTGCAGAGTCAGCTTCTTTCATATTTTCTTTAAAGCACAAATGCTGACCTAGCCTTTCCAATTCTAGCCCTGACATCTGCTTCTGATCCACCATTTGTGACAATGGTGCTGCCCAGGTAGGTGAAGGCCTTCAACTCTTTAAGTGCACTTCCAGCCAAGGACATATGTTCTTGGGTTGTTGTGTTTATCTTCATGATCTTTGTCTTACTTCTATTTATGTAGATTTCAAGCTGTACCAAAATAGTGGCTACATCTCTTGTTTTTTTCCTGCATTTGTTGTTGGTTGTGGGACAAAATTGCAATGTCATTTGCAAAGTCTAGGTTATTCAGTTGTTTCCACTTTGTCCACTGTATTCTGAACATGTTTTTGTCAATGGATTCTTTCATTATCCGGTCAATGGTGAGAAGGAATAGGAAGGGAACAAAAGACATCTTGTCTGACTCATGTTACCACTTTAAAGGCACCTGTGAGTCTGCCTTCATATACCACCCTTCTTCATAGGAGCTTTGAATGATCCTGACCAGTTTTCCTGGTACCCCTTAATGTCAGAGAAGTTTCCAAAAGATTTGTCAGTCCAAGCTGGCAAATAATTTTTTTCTTAATCAATGGATCCATTGACAAATTACAAGAGCTTGGCCCTTGGGATTTCAATAAAGCTTGTTTAGAAGTAAATAGGTTGATCAGCCACTGCAAAAGGTTGCATTGTTTTAATTTGTTGTTCTTGCAATTATGACAGCAATGTGTTCAGGATCTCTGTCATATGTTGTCATTTGCTATGCAAAATCTCTTAATCCAACTCCCATACACTCTGAATAATTAATTTATGGTTAAAGTCATACTGTTCTCTTAATCTTATGAGTTTTACTATATTCTCTAATACTATATTATTTGGCATAGTATATTTTATATGTGAATAGTTGGTTAGGAATCATATTAATTTTTAAAGCAAAACAAACACATTTTTAGCTAATAATATGTTAATAAAATAAACACAAATGTTAAGTGTTTTTATTCAATACTTTGCTGAAACTATTTTAAATTATTACGGTAAATATGCTATATTCACTATTACTCTATTACTGTTTTGGCTTTACCTTTTAATTAATCGATGGCTACTCAATTATTAACATTTTCATCTACTTTACATTCTCTGGTAAACCATATATAACAAGATAAATTAATATGGTTTATTTGTTCAGCAATTCTATGTGTACAGAGAAAACATCGTTGAACTTGGGTCTCTTTTATCAAGCATTTTTAAATATTTTAATTTGAAAGAATTGAAAACAATAATTAGAAATAACAATTGCAAACTTGTTGTGACATGTTCATGTATTACTTTTTAATGCTTTTTTTTTTATATATTAAAAAAATAATCATTTTAATTTTTCAAGATGCAACTATGACTTCTGCCGCACCACTTCCACCTATTAAATTAGGCACCAGAGTGGAAGTAATTGGAAAAGGGGTTATTGGTACAGTAGCTTATATTGGAACCACAGTTTTTAGTCAAGGTAATTACTCTCAAGTATATTTTTAAAGCTTTTTTAACTTTAAAATTTTAAAATAGAGTCATGAGCTTTTCAAAACTAGGTATATTTACTGGTGCTAGATAGTTTGTTGAACATTTTTTATTTTGTTTCTTGCATAGGAAAGTGGGTTGGCGTTGTGCTAGATGAGCCTAAAGGAAAAAATAATGGCACTGTTCAAGGAAAGACATATTTTACTTGTCCCGATGATTATGGAATATTTGTCAGGCAGTCACAGGTAAGCTTTATTTCATCACCGAGAAGCTCCTGAGATTTTGATCTCTTTTAACTAAACTGTCAAAAATAATCATCACATTGAAAATATACTCTTATTTCCTGAAATAAAAATTATTGTAAAGACAGGTTCTTCTTAAATAATTAATTGCTAAAATATTAAAATTCTGGCAGTTTTCAATCTATTGAATGCATTATTTTACCATCACTTTTTATAATACGTTTTGGGGCTGATATGCAACTCAGCATGTACTTAACCTGCTGGGCAATGTTGTATTACTTCTCCATGTAAACTTTGGGATCCAACGCACCTTCCTTCCCTAGCACAGAGCATTCTTCCAGCAGGTGTCAAAAGTTTCTAGTGATTGGGAACAGTGGGAAAGGTTGAACCCCATTGCAGAATTAATCTGAAGAAGTAGCTCAGAGTCGGACAGTGTTCGGTCCTCATCTGTATCACCAAACATGGATAGCAAATTTGTATATGCATATTCTATTTGTATTGCACCTAGCAATTTACATCAAATGAATAAGTTGGAAGCTTAATGAAGCAGTATCTGTGGAAAACATCTTAAATTAAAGCTTGTATTATTTGTGCAGATTACTCCTTTGGAAGACCAAGAGCCTGTTAAAGAGCCATCACCACCTTCTGTTGCTGCAACCCCAAGGCCGAGTGCATTACGTCCTCCTGCCTCAAACAATCGTCCTGTGAGTACACCAGCAACAGCTGGCAAAAGGTCTGGCTTGCGACCTCCAGGATCCATGACCAAAAGTAAAATTAATTACATTTTACCTGTCATTTTTATTAAATTTATTTACTATTAATTTGCTTTGCATATCTTGTTTCATTTAGTATTTTAAAACTTTCATTTATTTCCAGCTATTTACTGTAAAGTATAATAAAATATTAATACCTCACTTTTATTTGATCACTTTGAACGTTAAAATATTTGAAAATTAATTCAAATAAGAACAATTAGGTAAGAAACAATTTAAACATGTCTAAATATTAAGGAAAGAAAGACATCAAGAATTTTTTTTTCAGTCCTTAATATATTTAAATTGGTCACTTTTAAATTCCAGGCATTAAGTCAAAAAGGGAGCTACATTAAATATCCTTAAACAATGCAAACACAAAATGATTAGACATATTTTTTACTGTGATTGAATTGAGTTCCAGTTTTTTTAAATTGTTTATAGTTATTGTGACATTCTCTTTAAAATTGTGATGCAGATGCAGACATAATGCCGATAGTCTTCAAATTATTTATGCCATCATTCTAGCACTTTTTTTTCCCATAATTATATTTTTTTACTAGTAAAACTTCTCTGTGTCACAATTTTAAATTGCTTGCCAATTATTGTTCACTGAACAGTTTTATGCTCTTGGTGTTTTAAAGGATATCGTTACTTTTTAGGCACTGAAAGCCTTGGGGGTGATACCCCTGCACAAGTGGCACCTGAGGCTAAGCCAAAAGTGCCACCAGAAGTTGCAGCCACACCTGCTTCAAAACTGACGAGGCTTCCTCGTGGGAGTAAGGAGCTTGCGCCCGCTGATGATAAAGCAAATGGGACAGGCCAAGAACAAACTGGAGCTGCAGCTGGAGCTGCAGCTGTAGCTGCTGCATCACAGATGAAAGCATCAGTAGAAAACTTAGCTATTCCATCCCCTCATGCATCACAGGTGACATTAACAATGGGAAAAATTCAAACAATATCTAATGTAAAAAATAATTAAATACTTTGGGTATTTATTTTTACTTGATCATTCTGTATCTAAGCACTAAATTTTGTTCATCAGTATGCACCTTTATAAACATTAAAAGATCAGCAAGATAATTTTTTTCCACCTTCCAGATGAATTTGAGCCAGTTGAGTGCAATGTCTAGCTCTCAGTCATCTATAGATGAGCGATTGACCAATGTCCAACAACAGCAGGAGATAGAAGGGCTTAGGCTTGAAGTCAAGGATCTCAATGAAAAACTGGAAACACTGAAAATAAAGAGAGCTGAGGATAAATCCAAGCTTAAAGAGTTTGAAAAGACAAAGATTCAATTGCAACAGGTAAAAAGTTTGTTTAAATGTTAGCATTTGTGAAACTGTTTCAGTTTGATCATAATTTACAAGAACTTTATGGTAATAACTTTTTATCTTTTAGCTTCAAGAGTACAAGTCTAAAATGCAGGAAACTCATGCAGATCTTCAAAGGCAGTTGCAACAATCAAAGAAGGTAAAAGTGAATAGTCCTTGCTTTTGTTATAAATTTAATGAATGCTTAAATATTATTTTTCAACCAAGACACTCACATGTAAGGTGATAAGATGTATGTCCTTTTCTTAAAAGAACTAGTTTTAGCATCTTCAAATTTGTATGTTAACATTCAAGATTGTGTACATTTTTGTGTCCATGGTCTCAATGAAGAGGGTTATCTGAACCGTCCATTGTTTTTAAAAAAATGACAATATTGGTCAATTGTGACTAACAGTGTATGACTATGGGAACATTTGTGACCTAGTCATGTTCAGAGACCCATAAGTAAATAGGACTTTGGTTGGGTAGCTAAATGAAATTGAGATATTACAGAATATTCTCTTATTTATTTTAATAATTTTAATTAGTTTTTAATAAAGAAAAGATTACCTGCAATTTTTGTTCACTATCCCAGGAACTGACTGAAGTTCAACAAGAGTTTGAATCATATAAAGAAGAAATGGCAGATGTTACTGAAACTGTTGAGATGGCAACCTTGGATAAAGAGATGGCCGAAGAAAAGGTAATCTTTAGTAAAAATTTAAACAGGAGCACATCGATAAACAAATATATTATTATAAAATTACCTTTATTCATTAATGTGTAAACACTTTAGAATTGCATATTAAATAATGCAAAAACAAGTCTACTGAATCAGTTTTAACATTTCTTGTCTGCTTGTCTTTTAAGGCTGAAAGCCTGCAGTCAGAGCTGGATTCCATGAAAGAAAAGGCTGAAGAACTTACTTTAGATCTAGAGCTTATCCGAAATGAGATTTCTGAAAAAGGTATTTTTCTAAGTTTTCTATTAGTGTAAACATATTCTTTTCTTTAATGAGTCATTTAATTTTTCACTAGTAATTTGTAACATATTTTGTAATGAATTTATATATACTTATCATAAAAATGTGTATATAATTTTTTTAGGGACAGATGGAGTAGCAGCGACATTTGAATTGAAGCAAATGGAACAACAGAATGAAAGGATGAAAGATGCTCTTGTTAAGTGAGAGATGCCTTTTTTAAAACTTTAAAAATTCTTTCATATTTAAAATTTTGATTTCTTAAATTTAATATGAGTGTTAGATTGAAATTTGATACAAAGCAATCATCTTTAAAATATTTAAAAAAATTAAATGTGTGCTATGTAAATTTGTTCCTCTTTTGTTAAACTACAATATAGACTGCGCGACATGTTAAATTCTGAGAAGCAAGATCATCAGCGTAGTGAGAAGATGGTTGAGAAGTTGGAATCTGAGCTGTCAGTTCTAAGGAAAGAGAAAGAACGTCTCGGGAACCAGGTGGCGGTATATGAGAAAGAGTTGATAGACTTGAAAGAACAAGTTGATGCTGCTTTGGGGGCTGAAGAAATGGTGGAACAATTGACTGAAAGAAATCTTAAATTAGAAGATGATATCAGAGAGATCCTTGAAGAGAAAAATGATCTGGTAACTTAAGACTTTGATTTATTTTGTAGCCTCTAAAACACAGGTTCCAAAACTTTTTAACTACGGCCCCTTTTTATAGAAGCATAGTGACCCGTGGCCCCAATATATTAAAACGATAATACGGTGAGAGATAACAAATCAAAAGTAAATGCAGTATTATTAAATTTTTAAAACTTTATCTAGAAACCAATAAAAATAGAAAATTTCCATTAAATAACTAATTTTTTGCTAAAAATATCATGCTGTCTTAAAAATATTCACTGAAAAAAAATTGGATAGACAAAAACTGAATAAAAATCATTTGTCTTCTAGCTCCTCCCTCTCTATAAACTAACATTTTTTTTTTATGAACTTTCAATTTCTTTATATTTCTAAAATCCAAACTTGGTCTTTGAAAATGTCCATTTCATGTCTCGTTCTTACAAATCCTTATGTAAATATGTCTTTTAGGAAGCACTTAATGACATGAATGAGGAACTGCAAGAAAATGCCAAAGCAACGGAACTTGAACTCAGAGAGGATGTCGATATGAAAAACATTAAGTTGTTGGAGGTATTAATTCATTTGTTTATAGATTAGAGCTTATTAATTTTTTCTTTGTGTCTAAGCTCTTTTCCTGTCATAGTTTTATTCCAATTTTTATTGATAAAATAGTTAATTTTTTAAATTCATTATTACACAAAGTCTAAAATTCTGCTTAAAATATACGTAAGTCACATCAAATAAAGATGTCTGCTAAAAACCCTTAAGTGATAGATTATTAGAAAATTGCATTTGATGGCTAAAAACATATTTGACCTTTGAACAGCTTCAGAGAAAGTTAGATGGCACACAAGAAACATTTGCAGAGTATGACAAGACATTGAACAAATTCAGAGAGCTTGTAGCAAATCTCCAGGTAAGACTGTCTGCATTAGTGAACAGTCTCCCATGAATTTTTGTTGTTCTTCTTGGAAAAATGTTTTAATTCAAATTTGCAATATAAATAATTCTGTACATTTTCATCTTGCGTTTTTTATCTCTTGTTGACAAGTTTACCTGTTCTTATTTCATTATTTCAAAATTATAACAAATAAAAAGGGTTCATAAAATGAGTATAACTTTACTATGTGCATTTTTTTTATTAGGATCAACTTCGCAGCAAACAGCAGGAGAGTGAAACTAAAGTGGAGACCCCAACTGTTGAGCTGATGGATTTCAAGACTAAATTTGCTGAGACTAAAGCTTACGCCAAAGTAAGGAACCGAAATGGATTCAATACTGAAAATCACAATTTATTAAAATTATTATTTATAATGGTTTCAAAATATTCCTGAAATTCTTTTTTTATTCTGCTCAATATTTTGTTAACATTTTATTGTTATTTAGACCATTGACATGGAGTTGAGGAGATTGGATGTCCATCAAGCTAATTCTCACATCAAGATGTTGCTGTCTTTTATGCCAGAAGCATTTATGGGAAGAGGAGGTATGTGTGGCATCTATGAAATGTTTGTTTTGTTTTTCTTGGTTTTTCCATGGCGGACACAAATTTTGTACAATTTTTAGTCTACAGTTTTTCACATGATTACATTAATGGATCTTGAGGTTATTGTTATGGAAAGATTATTTTTTTAAAATTCTGAATTCTATCAGGTGATCATGATGCTATCTGTGTACTTCTTATGATACCAAGAATCATTAACAAAGCTGAGCTTCTGGCTTCTCAAGTTAAAGACAAGGTGAGTAACTTTTCACATCATGCTTGAGAGTCTAAGAAAATATATCCATTTTAAAAACTTAAATTTAGCTTCTTAAAAAGTAATTTGCCTTAATTTAAACAATTTTGAGGCACAATATAAGCTTCAATGTCCATCCTGAAAGATTACCTGAGACATTTTAAAAATAATGTATTTATGTCTTAGAGATATTTTTGTGTGTGCATGTTTTCAGTATGAGGTTGCAGATAAAATTGAGCGCGATCATGTTCTGAAAAATCATAAAGCAGAACAGTGCAGCTTTGCCCATCACTTGAATCTACTGCTCAATATTCTTCATGGAACCATGAAGCAGTACGAAAGGTGAATTATTTTAAGGCTTTAAAGTTTTGCATTTGTAAAGTTTAAAATAAAATTTGAATGAAAAACATTTTGGATGCTTTTTTTATCTAAAAATTTTAACTGTTGTAAAACAAAAGTTATTATTGTCTGTTTCCAGTGCTTTGAACAGTTGTAGCACTGATCTGTTCCTAAAAATAGGAACATTACTTCCAGAGATGTCTGCCCATGAAAAATCTGTGGATTATTTCATAGATCTTCTAAGAAAAGATCAGGTAATGATGTCATGATCACAAAAGGAGATCTAGGTTTTAAGAGAATATAATAAAAAAAAATTGTTTGCTATATCTCAAAAATAAAATAGCGTGGAGATAAGTTAATTACTCTAAGAATAAAAATTCTATGTGCATCATATAATTTGTATATAGTTTTTATGGATATCAATTGTATGTTAAATGTTTTGCATAATTTATGTAAAGATAAGTTAGAAAAATAGTTGGGGAGTAGTTTTTTAAAAATTTATTTATTTTTCAAGGATGTTTTTTTTACATTTATCAATAATTAAATTATAATGAAATTTCAAAATGAATGTTCCCACTAAATATAAGATCAATAAAACCATCCTTGTACTTGATAAATAACCACTTGAATATGTTATTCAGACATATTTTTGTTTCTTCTCTTTCCCAAAGTTGGATGAAACAGTGTCTGTTGATCTTTTGGAGAAATCTATCAGTTTCTTTCAGGTAATTTTATGTACATATTTATTGCAGACCCAAAATATGGAAACCATTACCGGTAAATAAAATGTGGTGCTGTTTTATTTTAGCCGAAGGCCTGTTACTTAAAAAACAAAATTTTCTTCATCTGTATATTTTTTTATTTTACATTCAAATTTTAATTTTATTGTCAAAAAGGCTTTTTCACATTTAAAGGATTATTTTTACTGGTATTTATTTCCTTCAACACTTCAATGGTTAGCCCATCCTGTGTTATAGCTTTTTAAAAAAACAAAACATTAATTAAAGGGAGCTTCCATTTTGTATCAAAAGAATGCGATCAAAGTATTTTCTTAATTTTTTTAATGGTGATTTTCAATTAAGTTAGAGCTTTGAAAGTAATATCTCTCCTCAGCAACTATACAATGTGCATTTGTCCCATGAGCGTGTGGACTGCACACATATGATGTCTAGTGATGTACGCATTGTTCTTAGTGCTTGTGATGCGATTTCAACTGAGATTACCAGGCTCAAGATTCTACTTTTGGTAAACAATTTAGTCATTCTTAAACAAATTTCTTTAAACATCAAACTTTTAATTACGGAAAAACCTTTATTTTATTACTTTCTATGTATCTAGTTAGTTAACATCAAACAAGTGCATTTCAAATTACAAAATATAAAAACAGCTTGAGAATTTATTGCATTTACTACATTACAGCCAGGACAAGAACAAAGTAATTTTTCCATTTTGTTGAAGGACCTTGAAACTTGCAACAATGACACTCGAACCTGTGCAAGAAAGGTAATGCTTGGTGGTTTTTAGTGCAGGGTAATCTCAAATTATTTTTAAGGATGTTTCATTTGTGAAGTTTAAGCATATATATTTATACCACAAGCCTTCTAGATCTTATGGATCAATTAATTTTTATCAGTGTTGGGAAAAGTTAGGGACACAATTTGGATATCACCAGCATTTAAACTCCAGCACTTCTGTTTCCTGGCTTGGTTTCTTTACTGTTATCTCTAAGTCCTTTTGTAGGAAAGAGAGCAAGCTAATCATACATTTGAATAAGCATGATTTTATTATTGATTCATTGGCTCATATTTATTACACTTATTATTTATAAGATCAAGAGAAGACTTCCACAAGAGGGATCAGCTGCTGCTAATCCTCTCAAGTTTGGAAAAGAGGTATTTTATTAGAAAATAACACTACAATTGTAAATGGCATCCCTATCACTTTCGAAAATTATTTAAATTGTAAATTAGTAAAGAAATTTTTTTTTAATGATTTACTCTTTGTCTCAAGATCACTGCTCCTATTTTTGATTTTAAATGATGCTTTTGTTGGACAGACTATGTCATCATCAATGCATTAAGACCAGTTTGTTTCATTTCTTTTCTTAGCTATTTGTTTTAAATTAATCTTAATAAAATAAAGAATGATTTCCCTTTGCTAAATATCGGGATTTTCTTTCTTTCAACATGTTTTTACAGAGATTGAAATGTTTAAAGCAGTTGTTTTGATTATCTATTTATGTTTGTCAATTTGGTCCAACTGGTGATCGATCTAATAAAGGTAGAAAATATTACATTGATGAACAAAATTATGATGATTCTGAGAGTGATTTTATGATTTCGGATGGACAGCCTGATCTGATGAATTGTACGATCCTAAAAGCAGTCGTATTAATAAAATTGATAAGTCATCAACTAATGAACCACCAACCCGCCCAAGCTAAAGTGTCTTATGAAAGGGTTCCTGCTATAAATTACATAATGTAGATTCTAATTGGAAAGCTGCTGATCTTGGCACTGAGTGCAATTTCAGATTTTCACCTTGAAATACAAGGAGACCCGTGCAAAAATGTTTTATTAGCAACAAATTGTTTCCAGTGGAAATAGTTAAGTTTTTAGCATGCTTTCCCTTTTAATTCCATACCAAACTTAATATTTTCTAATGAAAAACAAAAAGGTTATGAAGGTTTAGAGTTAACATTGTATTGAATAAAAGATATACAATATAGATAATTCTATTAGAATAAGGAAAGTAATTCTAGAGACAAAGGGTTAACAATTTATTTTTTACAAATTATGATATTGCGGTTTTTATTATTAACTACTTTTTTTTAAAACTCTGATGAGATGCTCTTAAGTTATTGATAATTGTTTTTTCTTATCATACAAAGATTCAAGACCTGCTGATAGACTGTCGTAAACATATCAGCAATGTGGCTCGATTATTGAAAATGGTAGCAACAGGAGCAACTCAGCAAGCCGCCATTATGACAGGTAGTGTTGATATAACAATTGTTCTTTTATGGGGTTGAATGGTAACATAAATGTAAAGAAAAAATGTCAAATAATGATTGAATGTTATTATTACATGTATCAATATCAATGTGATGAATGGTATTAAGATGAAATAGTTATATATTTTAAAAAAGATTCAGTAATTATTTGCAAAGGTGAAAACTCTATGTCCTCTTTATGCAAGTGTTTCGTTTAATAAACATTTAGATTTAGAATACCGTTAGCTGCGCAATATTATCAGAAAATATAACAATTTTGACATATCAAGCTTTTAACTTCGATACATTAAAAATGTGCTATGTATTATACTAGTTTTCTTAAGCAAATTAATTGAGCTTTTTAATTTATTTGCAAAAAATTTAAAGATTCTTTGCATCTTAACAATAATAAAAGTTATTTATTTTTTAAAATCTATAAATAAATAGTAAATTAAATTTATGATAAAACTTTATCAATGTTTTACTTATGTATGCCATAAGATAATTCTACACTCATGAGAAAGAGATATGGAACTGTAGTTGCATCATAGATAAATAATATAATAAATTTATCTTTTAAAAAATAACCTAGTACATTTTTAAAAATGAATAAATTTGGCATTTTCGGATTTGTATTGTTATTACAGAAAATAATTAACTCACATTTTTTACACTGAAAAATAAGCATCATAAATTTAGAAATTGGTGAGTTAAAACTAGTCATACTGGGTATTTATTATTCAAGTGGCATTGTCCAGTCTTTGTCTTAAATAAATAGAAACTATCCATGTGTTTTGTGAATCAAAGATCTTTTATTAGAAATTTTAATTTTGACAAGCTGATTGCTTTTTGAGATAATTATTATTGCACCCACTCTGTTCTTTCTTTCAAATAGACAAGGTTGCAAAGTTATTAAAGCATATTATATATTGCTTAAGATAAATCAGTCTGAAAGTAACATGACTGGAGTGGAAGAAGGAATTTTGAACTTTTGTGCTTGATAAAAGTTTTGAGTCATAATAAACACAAATTTTAGGGTAACAATCAGGATTAAATCAAAATATTTGTGGACTCCATTGCTTCAAAATTTGAATGATGATTCAGTGGCAACTGTTATTTTACGGAGATGGTTTAAAAAATGAATTTTGTAATCATGCTTCAAAATATTATTGATAGTGAAAAGACCTATCATTACAACTTTTCTTTTCATTTTTTCAAAAGACCTATCATTTACAACTTTTCTTTTCATTTTTTCAAAAGACCTATCATTACAACTTTTCTTTTCATTTTTTCAAAAGACCTATCATTTACAACTTTTCTTTTTTTTAAAAAGACCTATCATTTACAACTTTTCTTTTTTTTAAAAAGACCTATCATTTACAACTTTTCTTTTCATTTTTTCAAAAGACCTATCATTTACAACTTTTCTTTTCATTTTTTCAAAAGACCTATCATTTACAACTTTTCTTTTCATTTTTTCAAAAGACCTATCATTTACAACTTTTCTTTTCATTTTTTCAAAAGACCTATCATTTACAACTTTTCTTTTCATTTTTTTAAAAGACCTATTAACTTTTAGAATCTTCCTAAAGAATTGAAATCTCAAGAAAAGTCACAATTTCTTCATGGCAACAAAAATATTTATTCTATTATTTTCTTCATGGTCTTTGAGATCACATTTTCATATTACATTAAATATCATATTTTCATTTATCATCAAGGTGGAAAACTGTGGGAATTGGAGAAGCTTATAGGTAAAGCAGGTTACTGATGAGTGTTTAAAATTATATTTAACTGAAACCAAGTTTGTAAGTAAGCATGTTTGATGGATGAAATATACAAAAAAATTGCCTGAGTTACACTTTGCTGTAGGAATGCTCTTTCTGTGTGATTCTTTATTTCAAGATAATATAATAATGATAATATATTTTTCTACCGAAGTAGTCTCAGGATTAAAAGGCATGTCATGTTACAGCCGATTGAAATATTTTAAATTCTAACAGCACGTTGAGCTAAGTTTCTTTTTTAAGCTTTCCTGAGAATGCGGCTTGGATTCAGACAATGTTTCTCCTCAACTCAACTTTACTGCATCATTTGTTTCTATGTCTCATTATGTTTTTCCATTTTTAATTAGTTGTTCAAAGGAGTGTTTTTAAATGTCCATTTTTTGAAGTTAAATATGTATATCGTTTCCATTGCAAATCTATTATTATTAGATATAGCTGTATCATTTAATGAGCTTCTAGATTCCACTTCTTTGACCATGTGATACTCTCTTTGAGTTATCCAACCATCTATTTATATGTTACAGTGTGATTGCCTGTATTACTTTACACAGAAATAAACTGATTTTTTTTTTAAAACCGCTACAGTTGCAAAGATAATGTTAATACAAAATTACCCACTTAATTTGTTAAATATTAATTTATTCCACATTTCAGAGTCAGGTTCTAAGACAGGTACTTGGTTTATAAAAAAACAAAAAACATGTATCTTATTGTATTCTTTTTTTTTTAATGTAAAGTTGCATTAGCCATCTGTAGATGCTTTCTATATCTGTAGAGCTGAGACAAGACATGTACTGGTGGGGTTTTAAAACTGCTTCAGTCAGTCTCACTACTATTCTGTATCAATTTTACTGCATAAACTGTAGATCAGCCTTATTTGTCATTCACCACATTGTGAATTTTTGTGCTTCGTGGAATTATTAACAGTTTTATAATGTAAGGGTTATGGAATACATCATTATAATAAGCTGAATTTAGAGGTGATTGAAATTTCAATTTTAACTTGGAGTTTACACATTACCTTATCAGGAAACCAAGAATCTATGAAATACTCTTGATTGATACACTTAAATCAACCTTATGAAAACATACACTTTTTTGTTACAATAGTGTTTATTTAGGCTCTGTCAAAGTGTTTTCAACAATCATAATTCTTGGTAAATGAGCTGCTGCTATTTTAATTTTAAAAATTATATTTGGTGACATAAATGGCATTTACAACACTATATATATACAAAAAAACTCAACTGTTTTGTATAATATTCTTATTCTCACGATGAAATCTGCTAAAAATAGAAATAAATCTTCAAACCAGTGGTTCTCAACCTTCCTATTGCTGCGACCCTTTTAATACAGTTCCTCATGTTGTGGTGACCCCCAACCATAAAATTATTTTCGTTGCTACTTCATAAATAGGTGTTTTCCTATGGTCTTAGGCGACCCCTGTGTAAGGATCATTCGACCCCCAAAGGGGTTGTGACCCACAGGTTGAGAACCGCTTCTTTAAACAATACTTATTCAAAAACAAATGTATTATCACCAATACTTATTTCGTCCCTAAGTTATCTGAATTAAACATAATAGGAAATGAATCCTTGCTCAAGCTTTCATTTTGAATTTTATTTTGTGGCGCACATAAAGTGTACTTTCTAGAGGACCCAGCTCATTATAAGTTGCACAGTGTCATGGATGTTGCAGTTACAGTAAAAAATTGAATTTGTCATACATGATTAACAACTGGTTGGGTTTTTACTCTTTACTCTTGTTCTAATATACTCCTGCATGTTAGATTAGTCAGTATTATGTTTAACTAATCATTTTTTTATATTATCTATCGTGGCGGCCAAAAATATATATTCCTTTCTTTGTATATACTTTCTTCCGTACATGTTATGTTATTAGTTTAATTTATAATGTATGTATATTTAGCACCCATATTTTGTTAATTTTACTTTTTGAATCACACTATCTTTACTGGTTTTTATAATACACTCCCACTGGCTGACAGATAATCTAACAAGAAAATTGAATGTTTAATGAAACAAAGACATTGACAAAAGGATTTGTCCCAGTTAAATTGACAAAAGGATTTGTCCAAGTTAATATGTAATATTTTCTTTCTTCCATTCATTTAATCTATTAAAAAATTGATGGCTCCTGCTTTACTATCTTTGGAGACCATTTGATAGTTCAAGTGGACAATGCAACTATCAAACCCACCTGAAAGTTCAAGTTTATGTACCATACCGGTACTCATATATTTTTGTTACAGAAAATATGTAAAGTTGAAATAATTTTAGCACACCACTTTTTTTTACTTTATTTCTTTTTATTTTTCAATAATTTATAAAATTTTATAGACACGGAACATAAAAATAGTTTTTATATTTATTCAATTATTCAATAGTAATAACAATGGTGTGAGATGTTACATGTACAAATAAAGCCAAGATCATGAAAATGAAATTATATATGCATTAGGTACCCGGTACTTATTTTCCTTTTCATGATTTCAGCTTTTGAAATGTTAAACAAATTTGAAGAAGAGTGTTTCAATTTCATCATGATTAATTTTTATTGTCTTTTTTTTTAAAATAAATATTTATAGCATTTATCTAAGGCATATTACTACAATTTTTTTTAAAATTTCATTTCATTAACATTATCAATGTAAATATAGTTTTTATTGACTAAAGATGTTAAAATTTAAATGCAATTGGCATGTTATAATTAAGATACAAACTGTGCTCATAAACAACTGCAATGATTTATCAAAAACAAAGGATTTGATGTTGGAGTGAATGTTAATGCTAATTTATGTTTCCCTTTGTATGCTGACCTTACTAATTAGTAATGAAAAATTATTAATCAACTTTATTCAACTGAATAAAAATGTGCTTCTGTTTCTGTAAATTTTGATTGAAAATCAAATTTGATTCCTAAACAGCTTGATAAATGCTATGTTTATTTATTGCCATGAAATTACTATCCTTTCTGGAGATTTTCAATCCTCTGACATCACAAACTTTATTCTTCAAAGCTTGACACTTTTTCTATAAATTTAAAAAAAACAAGGATGATCTTTTGTTTGATATTATTTGAACAAGCATGACTATTGCAATCTGGAATATTAATGCCTTTTAGTTTCAGTTACAAACTGTTATTAACAAATTTAAGTACCGGTAGTAATACCCCCCACCTTCAGCTGTTCTTTTTGGATTGAGGCCTCAATTTCTATGTCATATTAAAATTAGAAAAGTGAAAAAAATCCAATACACTTTATAGTCTGAAACTCCTAAAACTAAAAACAGTAATAGCATTTCAAATAATGGTATAGAAAACTTGACCCAGTTTTTTTTTGTTTTTTTACTATTCCCTCCAAGACTTTTGAAATTCTTTAACTTTATAGACACTTTTCATCTTATTGGTATTATTGTGTAAAAAGTGAATAAAGGAAATTCATTTTTCAAAATTGTATTTACTATTTTTGCTAATTACCTTGAGTAATGTTATGATTCTGCTAAATAAATGGTCTTGGCATAATTTTTGCAGATCGAGAAGGACTTCTACCAAAGAAAATGGAAGAACTCGCCCAAGAAGCTGCTCATGAAGTCTACAGTAAAGAAAACACTGATGCATATGAAAGTTTGAGGTACATAACACATTAATTTGAACAGAAATGGTTTTTAATTCTATACTATAAATCTTATATTAGATTTCTAATTTATTCTTTTTAGTTTAAAAATTATTTAAATGAATTGTAAAAAACTATATTTCAGATTGTCATTTGGAATAGTTGTTGGCACTGTGAACAAACTTGCCAATGCCATGGAGAATGGAGAATATGACTTTGATGGAACTCATGAAAAAAAGGTATTTTATCTAAAGTTATTTCAGACATTGATTGTGTTCACTATAAAAAAAAATTTTTTTTTAAAAACCAACAAAAAAAACCTTGCTGTTCCTTTCAAAACTGAATAAAACTGTAGACTCATTGTTTGTTTAAACAATGGACAAAGCAAGAGGACCTGATGTATTTTATTTATGGATTGTGCTCAGCTTACTGCTTATTGAATTTCTCAATCTGTCCTTGTTAAAGCAACAGTTTTATTAAAAGCTACAGTCTTTATCATTGCTATATTTTCTTTTACTCTCTAAATTAAAGAAACAAGCCCCGCTAAAGCAAAGGGCAGAGGCAATTAAGTCTCAGGCATCAGATATTGAAGCTGTTAAGCAAAAGGTGGATTTAAAAGAAGACGAAATTAAAGAGTTGAAGAAACAACTGAAATTAAAGGTATTTTCTTTCCAATGTGTGTAATCTGTTCTTTTTACCATTTTTTCAATAACACAATTTTTTAAAGTGATTAAGTTGAACTTTTTATCTGATGAGATAAAAAATTAATTGTAAAATTTAAATGAATGTTTCCCATTCCAGTCATTTCTACCCCAAAACCTGTATATAGTGTTAAAAAAATTATGTGTCTAAACCAATCTGCTTGCCTTTTTTTAAAGCAAGAGGAGATGAGTGAGCAGCAAATACGCATCGGTCTTGTTGAGAAGAAACTGGAAAACAAACATAAAGAAAATGAGGATGAACTTAACAAACTTCAGCGGAAACTTGACGATGTCGCTCTTACACTAAAAAAGAAAGAAAAGTATGTTCTGTTTTGCATTCAGATTACATTAGCTAAGTTGTTAGGTCATCAGTTTCATAAGCTGAAGAAATGGAGATTGCTTTAAATTTTAGTCATCCCATTTTGGCCTGGAAAGTTTTGCGATAAATTAAAATATAATTAAATTTTTTTAAATTTTAACATTTTTTTTAATGCAATATGGGGGCTTATTGTAAATAAAAATATTAATAGGGTCTTGTTTTATTATTGGGGTCACAGTTTTTTACCCCTCAGTTTTCTTAATGAGGTTTTGTAGTAATTTCACTGGCTACTTATTTTAAACAGGGAGTTTGAGGAAGCTTACGATGCCTTACAGATGGACATAGATACCCTGGAACAGGAAAAGACAGAGTTGAAAGAACGTCTTAGAGTTCTGTCTAAGAACACCCTTTTGCAAAATATGTCAAGGCAATCTTCAGGGCAAGGAGGTAATTCAGAACATAGACACTCCTACATAAACATATAAAAAAAATCTTGTTTACCATTTAAAACTGGTGTAAAATGACTAAATAGAAGAAAATAAGATAATAAGAGTAATAACTAATATGCTATATAGACTAGAGAGTATGAAATATTTTTTAACAAAAATGTATTCCATGTTCTGGTAAATTCCCTTTGAGAAAAAATAATATTTGAAAGATCTTAAAGACACAAATTTGACTTTTTCAATTGCAAACAAAGCCGCACTAGGTCCAAACACAAATCTAACTGGAGTGTCAGGTACACAGGAATCACCATTACTTGCCCAACAAGTGAGTACTGTAAGCTTAATAGAAATTAAAATTCCATGTAAGAAATAAAGTTAATTCTTGTTGTCTTGAACAATTTTGTCGTAAGTATTACATTATGATAAATGTCTCCCCAGGATTTATTTTAATGCTACGCACAATGAACTTTGGGGGGGTTACATCAGAAAATACTGATGTCATACAAGACTTCATGCCGTGCATAGGGGGAGGAGTCGTATCACTGCCAGTTGAGTCATAGCAATCAAATTCTTTATAGTCAAGTTTTTTTTCAAGAATGGGGTGTTTAATTAAAAATTATTGCCTTATGCTCTTCAGTGTGGTTGTAATACTGTTACCGGGAGGGTATGTATAATTTAAATGAAAAAATAATTAAGTGCCCTTTTTTCAGGTAGTGGCCTTGAGAGATGCTTTGCAGTACAATAAGCAAGAACTAATTCGTTTGAAGGCAGAACGAATGAAGGTATCAATTGCTGAACCTGTATAGGAAAATTGTATTATTTAGTTCTTATTATTTTAAAAACTTTCTAAAGTACCGGTAAGTCATAAATATTAAACTCTTAATTACCCAGGACACCACAATCACCTAATTTGAAAATTATTTTCATTATTAACTAGATATTACCAGTGTTGTAAATATTTTTGTTTTAATGTCTGAACTCTGCTATATTCAGAAACCCTTATTTTATCCCTTTGTTAAAATTACATCTATGGAAGAACTTGTTATTATCTGTGTTTCTCTTTTACTGCAATCTTTGTAAAGAGTGCTTAATATGTAATTTTTATAGAAACAAATGGCTTCTCTGCCACCATTGAATGTACCCAAGAAGCCAACAGGTCTGGCAAGTACAACCGGAGCTGTTGTTATTGGAGATGTCCCCGATGGTTCAAAAACCGATCTTAGCAAATTACTAAAAAGAACAAAAGACTTGCTTTCCGTATGTCTGATAGCTATCATATGAAAAGTAGTGAAGTTACAGTACATGAATCTTAATCTGAAGTATTTATACCCTGTTGTTAAATACATTTATTGCTTAGTCTTTTCAGTTTTTATTCTGTAAATGAGGGTATGATGGGTATAGTTTTAGTAGCATAAAGATTTACATGTCTTATCACCGGATTTCTGTTGTATTTATCTGTCCCAAGATCATGTAGAGATTTTGTAACAAAGTTAAATAAGTATAAATTTGTTTCTTTTTATAAGGAAAAACTACTAGTGAAATAATTCTAATATTAATAATTGTGTATCTACAGAGTGCAAATAATTTGAGTGCTTGTCCTCGTATAGTTGATATTTCATCAAGAAAACCAGGTTAGTGAACTTCATATTGTCAAGGGTAGGGTGTGAAAAGAGGGACAACAAAATTTAATGTATGTGTATGGTTATATTATTGTATTAAATATAAGGCGGAACCAGGGAATACTTTGAAAAAATATGCGCACACTGATATAAAACCACTGTCACTTTGTGATTCACTGCACATCACCTTCTAACGCATTGTCATTCAGGGAGCATAGCATACTAACTATACTACACCAGCTATTGTTTTGGATAAACATTCTACTGTAAAAAAATATAACATTACAATTTTTATATTTCATTCCTTTCTTTATGCCTCTTCTATGAATGAGTCAGCTATGAGTGGTTTAGAGAAAAAGTATGCAGTTGTGCTTTAAATATCCTATTTAACTTAGTATGAAATCTACTGCTAATCATCATTGAGCTTTACAGGAAGATTTGATAACAGTCAATTACTTTACTTTATGATAGAGGGCTTTTATTTTTATACTTGCAAATCTGTGTACTAAAATCTACTATTAGTACTATTAGTACTGACTTGGGGAGCTAAAATTTTGAAACGAACAAAAATTAAAATGTCTGCCATCAGACTTAAGTGTAAAACACCCAATTTTTTGTGTTGATGTTCGCTGAAGCAGTGTGCAAGCCCTAATTGTGGTGCAGACACTCAATTTGAAAACGAAGCTAATATTAACATAAAATGATAAACCCAAAAACTCATGCCTATTATCTTGTTTTAGGTTCTACACCAGTTACGGACAATGCTGGACCTATGAAACAATTAATAAACAGAACTGCGGAACTGACTACTTTAGATAAGTACACACAAGAGGTAAGTCCTTAATCATATTCATCGAAAGTAATTTTTATAAATATGACTAAGGGTCTTGAGTATTTTTTTAATACACTCGAACCCACTTATCTTGACCTCGGTTAATTCGCCAACCCTTTTAAGTTGGACATTTTTTAAGTGGAACTGCGTAATTCTCTCTTTGTCTTAGCATTTTCTCATCGGTTGTGTCGTTCTTTTATGTTGCCGAACCCTCGAGCACAAAAGGGGGCAAAATTTCCCATTTAACGGTCGGTTATCTCGATCCCCATGACCAATCGCCGGCTTTTGAACTCCGCAAGAAGAAATAGCAAACAACAAATAAATAAGTTTTGCATAATTAAAAATAATAATTTATTTCTCAAAATTCAGAAGTGAAAGAATCCCTATATTAGGTGTCAAGGGAAGGTGCGGGTGAGAAATCGCCGGTAATTTCAAGCAAAATTTGTTATTTTCCTGACCTACTTTGTGTATCATGTGATCTTCTTCTTCTTCTATATCTTAAGGGCCCACGATCAATTTATTGATCATTTTGATCTAGCCCTGACCTTTGAATAAAATAAGCATTTTGATTGGTTCCTGTGTGGGAATTCTGTTTTTAATAACTACTTCCTATCGCTTCATCAAAAAATTTAAGGCAACGCTGTTGTGTGAAAAAAAAAATCTAAAAAATGTACATGTACATTGCATTTAATAACGCACATCATGTACATAAAGAAATTTCAAGCACATGTTAATATATTGCCGCAAAATTGGTTTTCGTTTATCTCCATATCGTTTATCTCACCGCTTTTTGACAAACCCCTAGGCTGGCGACATAATCGGGTTCAACTGTTCCTTATTATTGTTGTCAATGAACTTATTTAGTTTATGAAAAAGGTTGACAACCGCTGCTTGAAGATAAACTTTATTGAATCAACCTTTCTATTTCTATCATAAAAATAAAAGAGTTTAAATTGTAATTTACACATTTAACTTAACCAAATAAGTCAAGTACTGGTATTTAATAGCCTAATCTTGCTGTTATCTTTCATTTTGTATGCTCCATAGTTATTTTAGTTTAAGCCTCCTACTTTACCTTCTCCTATTTGCACTGTATTGTCACTTCCAGCTCCAGGTTCAAATAACTACTCTCTTGGCTGCTAATAGAACAGGTGGTCAAGTGCGCACAGATTTTTCTACTTTCCCAACACCACAATTTGCTAAGGTATGTACTCCAGCTTTGAAACCAAACTTCATGAAATAATAGTAATAATACTAATAGTCATTTTTAATTTACCAAATAAAGTATTGTTAGTTATCAGGAATACTTAATTTTTCTTTGAATATCTCTCATAGTTAAATGTTTGCTGAAATTATTTCAAATTCAATTTTTGTTGCTGCTGATATAATTTTATACCGGTACACTTAACATATTTATTTTAAATATTTTATATAAATCAGAAAAATGTCGTAGGTATAATTTATCTGGTCCCGGAACTAAATGTTACAAACATTTACATACTGGTATAAACAAAAATCCTTTTCAATATCATTTTTTCCAGATGTTGCACGAGAAGACAAGCAACAGTGTAAAAATAGGAAGTATTCAAATCCCTGTTAGTAGTGGTAAAGGAGCTGTCATTCCTATCAATATCCAGCCTGACCAGTTCAGGCATATTCACCAAAAATTAATTATGTAAAAACATTTCTTTCTCTTTTTCCAAAATCATGTACCCCGGTAGTTAATGTTAAATTTACTATGAAATAATACATTTTTTTTCAAATTCTTTGCATTTACCTGTTAGAGATATGAATTATTCAACCTTTGTACTCACTGAAACCAGGGACACTTTAAATGTTGTTTGTGTTGTACAGAAATAAAAATTAGTTAAATCTGTTTGATTTAGTAATTGAATTTTTCTCTTACATTGATGAAAAAGCTTGGTTATATTTTTGTCTCTTCTTTTCAGAGTGTTTATTCATCTAGATCATTTAGTTTTGCAAATAATATTGAAGAAGTCAAATTGTATGTCAGTGCTAATTATTGTCCAAGAGTATATTTTCAGACTTTTTCTTTCTTTTTTTTTAACTGATAAGTACCGTATCTCAGAACTTTGAATTATTTGAGAACCCATGCTTTTCGACTTATGGGGCTCTTTGTAATAATGAAAGTCTGATTTCTTAAATTTAAACCCTTTAAACAAATACTTTATTTATTATTTGGAAAGTTGGAATCTGCGACATATTACATTTTGAATATTATATCGTTGTATTTCAATATTACATTTTAAATATAGTCTTACTTCCTATCATTTTAACTTAGTAGGTAGGAGGTTTGAAGACTTACGAAACATTTTCGCTTGTTATATTTCATCAAATAAAGAACAAAATAATATAAATCTTCATCATTTGATTAGAAATCTTTTAATGCATTAAAATTATTTGGTAATATTTTTAAAAATGATATTTACTGGTACCTTATATAAAAGTTTATCTTATTAATGTCTAATGTGTTTCAAGGAGCTATTTCAGGTTTTTACAGTTTATTTTGCACTGTCATACTCTGATGTTAACTAATGCTTCCCTCCTGCTCCCCCCAACTCTTAGTTAAATAAATGATTAAATTATTGCAAATGACAATTTAACTTTCCCTTTGTAGTTGTGCTACGTTAAATTATTTGTTTAAGAATAATAAATTAAAATTACTTTATAAGCTGTGGTCACCGTGGGTAAAGTGCAATGCTCTATTACTATTAGATTTATTAGGTTATACAATTTTAAATTTAAATCTTGATCCAGTAGAGTAGTAGTAGTGTAAGGTTTTGTGGAGAATTTTCCAAGAATATCTGCATTTGTTTTTCATTAATTTTGTTGTACTAATTACTTTAGTAAATCCAATCATTTATGAATCATGCATGGTGTTTTTTGTTTGAAAAGTGAAGACATTAATATGAGCTTGAATATTTTTTTTTAAGTCAACATTTTGCTCCCTAGATCATAAGCTTTGGATTAACTTAATGTCTGAAAACCAACCAGTGTTTTTTTTAAAATTAGTATTCTATATTTTAAATTCTACAAAGAAATGAATTTGAAATAACTTGTTTTCAGGATGTGAGGTGGTAGCTTTATATTCAAAAAAATCCTTTTTTTTTCTTGTATATGAATCTGGGTTAGGTTTATTGTAGTTAATCCCCTACGCTTTGTGATATCAATAAAATGGTAATAATATCACTTTTTTTATGTGTTAGTGTGTGTGTTTGTGCATACAAGTGGAGGCTTTAATTTTCTTCTTCAAATTTTGAAACTAGATTTCAACTTAATAATAAAAAAATATTTAACAGCTAACCTAATGGTACATTTTATAAATATATTCCTTCCTTGTCGACCTAATTTTGAAGTGGATACAATAAAATACAGGGAAATGATAATGATAGATACTAGCAATACAGGGGCTTCTAACCAATAACCAAATATACTCACATCAAAACAAATCATCAGAGTAAATATAATACAAGAATATTTAACTTTAATTACAGGACATATGCCTTAAATGACTTCCTCAGCTCATTGATAAAAACTACAGAAGACCTAACTATAATAGGTGCATAATCAAATGGCTACTGCTATGTAAAAAAATAATTTAAAAAACCTCTATCATCCATCCCTGTGGCGCTACAGCCCATGTAGGGCTTTGGCCTGCCTCACCACTTCCTTCCACTCAGACCTAACTAATGCCTTTCTTTTCCATGCATGGACTTTCAGCTGCTGTAGATCTTTTTCTAAATCATCTATCCACCTAAGCCTAGGTCTGCCTTTGAGGCTTTTTCCTCTGGGGTATTGGTGATGCACCCTCTTCGTTCCTCTGTCATTTGGCATTCTATGTGTCCAGCCCAGCGTAGCCTGCCTCTTTTTATTTCTGGCACTATCGTGGGATCCTGATATAGACTGTATAACTCCTGGTTGGTTTGTATTCTCCATCCATATTCATCCTTTGTTGGCCCATATATTTTCCAGAGAACTTTCCTCTCCCATGTGTTTAATAGGTTTTCTGCTGGTTTTTTTAGGATCCAAGTTTCCCTTGCATATGTTACAACTGGTCTGATCATTGTTTTATAAATAGTTTTCTTTGTTTCTCTTGTAATGTTTTTACTTTTGAGTATTTTCTGACTACTGAAGTATGCCCTGTTTCTGGCTGATATTCTTTCGTTTATTTCTGTTAGTAATTCGTTTCTTTCATTTAACAAGGATCCTAGGTATTTGAGTTGATTTACTTTTTCAAAAGTTTGGATTCTAATTTTAATTGTTTCATTTGTTTGTTCCTCTCTTATCATGGTCATGTATTTTTTTTTTTTGGTTGTTAACTTCCAGCCCTGTTTGTAGAGATGTGTCTTCTAATTCAATAAAAGATTTTGATATGTCTTTAATACTTTTCCTCCCTAGAAGTGCTATGTCATCAGCATATGCAATATACTGAAGTGTTTGGTTGTAGAATGTGCCCGTTGGTTTATCGGTCTTGAGTTTCCCTCAGAAAGTATCCTGTTATCGTTCCTCGAGTGTCAATGTGTATGTTTCTAATAACTCTCTCTAATGTTAGGATAAGGAGCATACAAGACAGTTAGTCTCCCTGTCTTAGGCCTCGATTAATATGAAATTCCCTTGAATATTCTCCTTGAATCTTGATTCCCAAACTCCTGCAGAGTCTCATATAAATAGTTTTTCTTTTGATGCTGTCATCTGCCATTTTATAGTCTACATAGAGTTGATGTATATTATATTCATAGCATTTCTCTAATAGGCATCTGATGGTGAAAATCTGATAATTCGTTGATCTGTTAGGCCTGAATCCACATTGGTAATCACCTAGTATTTCTTCAGTGTAAGGTTGTAGTCTTTTGGCAATAAGCTTCGTCAGTATTTTGTATGTAACATTTAATAGGGAGATTCCTCTGTAGTTTGTGCACTGAAGTTTGGAGCCTTTCTTGTGTATTGGGGTTATTAATGCTGTTTCCCATTCTGTTTGGATTTTCTCTTTTTGCCAAATTTTAGTTATAAGTTTATATATTGTATATCTGAGTGTGTAGTTCTTTTCCTCCATATTTAATCAGTTCTGCTGTGATAAGGTCTTGTCCCGGGGCTTTGTGATTTTTCATGTAATTAATTATCTCTTTGGTTTCTTCTAGAGTTGGGCATTGTATAAAAGGGTCTGGTCCTCCCTGTGGGAGTTGATAATCTTCTTGTCTATTGTCTGCATTCAGTGTGTCCTCAAAATATTCAGCCCACCTCTCCAATACTTTACTATTTTCCGTGATTAATTCTCCATTGCGGTTCTCACACATTTTCAGTCTGGCTTGATATCCATTCTTTTCATTTTTTATCTTCATGTACATTCCTCTTATATTTCCCTCTCTTGATAAATCTTCTATTTCCTTTAGTTTATCCTTTTCCCATTCCCTCTTTTTCTTCCTACACATTTTTGTTGCTCTCCTTCTGGCTTCCTTGTATGTTTGTGTTGTCTTAAAAAACCTCTGCTCCAATAAAATTAATTATCATTACCAGTATTGGGTTAAGTGGGGGTGATGAGTGACTGCTGTGTGTTTTTCCCATAAAACCCAGCCTTCTCTTAATAAAGTGGTTCTGTAACTTGTATTACCCTCCATAGAAATGTCTCATTAATTATTTTCTACTTCTGGAGGAAAAAAAAAGATTGACAAATTTAATGAGAATACATCTTTTATTTAGTTAGTTACCTTTACAACTGTGTCCAATAATGCAAGCCATGTACATGAACCTTAGATCACCATCTTCACACTTGACAGGCCTTTTAATCAACATATTCTTCAACTTGATATTTTTTTAAAACTAAAAGAGTGACATGTAATTATAAATTGTATAATTTTGTCACTCTTTTATATTTTATTTTTGAATCAAATTGTATGATTAATGACAAAAATTAGCGGCAGTAAAAAATTAACTTAATAATTATTACTTTAATTTAACCCTGTCTTTAAAAACTTTGACCTTTGCTAATTTTTTAATTTTCTTATCAAATTTTGCTTTAAGATTTTCCTCTGAATAATTTGCAGCATCTTGTGCAACAAACTCACTGAGAACCTGTTAAAAATAAACAAGAAAGAAAAATGAAGATGCATGAACAGGATGCATATTAAATGCCAACAACTGACAAAGCAATTGACACTTACAGACATAAATAAACTAATCCTCATTCATTAAAAATTTATATGATTTAATGAACATTATGAATGAAAAATGTCAGTGTCTCATACAACTGTGGGCATTTTCTCATATCATGGGACTGACAGCTACATTAATCTAAAACAAAAGTTGCGGTCAAATAAAAGTCTTGAACATACCTTTTTTCTTAATTTCTTTAATGACATTTCCCCTTTAGATTCAAGAACAGCTATAACAGTGGCCTCCCAGTTAAACCTTTTCTTCTTCTTCTTTGGCTTTTGATCTTCTTCATCCCCCTCATCGTCAGAACTTTTGTCTCCAGCCTCCTCAGTAGGCTTGTTTCTCTCAACACCTACTTGTAGACACAAAAAACAAATTAAATTTAAAGTACTTACAAAATCAGACAAACTGAGGAGAGAAAAAATGTGTGACATGGCACTGGTTTAAAAAAAAAATTCAAATATGAAAATTTTTGATGATATTTGGTTCAGTAAATTTACACACCATTTTGTTCTTGCAATTCAGAGTTATGTTTCTTCTTTTTCCTTTTTTGTTGCACTTCAGGCTCCAGAGATTCTTTGGCACCAGCGTTTTCATCTCTACTTTCTTCTTCAGTTATTGAAAGTTTCCTTTTCTTACTTTTCTTTTCTACTTCTTGAACTGTTCCCTTTGTTTTATCTTTTTTTTCCTTCTTATTAGCATTTTTTCTCCTTTCCTCCTTTTTTTCTCTTTTACTCAGTCTATGGTTATTGTTTTCACAGTCTTCTTCTTCAACATTGGAAACACCATTTTCTATACTATTTGAGTCAGTTTTAAGAGTAACTCCATTCTCTGACTTATTTGAAGAGTCTTGTTGCTTTTGCTTAGATTCCTCATTCTAAAAGAATAATGCAAATCATCAAAAGGTTTAAATTAGTGATAGCACCTTTGTCATTTGAAATTTATGTTGTTTTGTTACTCATAACTTTAGTTACCGGTAGATATTTAATTATTTTAATAGCAAAGAGCAAAACTGATTTTTACACAACCTTAGATAAATAACTTATTCAATATTTACCTGTCCTGCAGCAGCCATTAGTGTTTCCCATACTTGACTGATAAGAGCATGATTCATGATTCGTAAACTATTTTTAAGAAAGTTCTGAAATTTAACAAAAATTTGAACTACCGGGTTATCTTATAAAAACTTCATTCAGTTCATCAAATATTAAAATCAATTTTTTTTAGCTATGGCTTTCTGGATGTGTGTTTGTGTGTGTGTTGTAGATGACTGTATGTATGATCATACTAAGTAGCTATTCGGACCCGGGTCTAAGAAGTGAGAGGTTGGGATTAAAATGGGACCCGGGTCTGAATAGCGGCGATGCGTTTCTGGTTCCATTTTGACTAAATGCTATTCGGATGTCATTTGTGGTATTTTATTTTAGTTAAACTGAAGAAGTAAGTTTACAAACATATAGTCCATTCAATTATCTTTCATTTGATACCAAATTTTGTCTTACACCCCAACAATAATTTTTTTTTCTCAAATTTTAATCCCAACCTCTCACTTCTCGGACCCGGATCCAAATAGCCGCAGCCATGATCATAATAGTAATATTTTTAGTATTGTTTAAGTAATTATATTTATTATCTTTATATATACAAAAATCAATGGGCATAACTTTGAAAAAGTATTGATAGATTTCATTGCATTGAGGTTTGGCTGTCAAATGAGACAGAGTGTCAATTGGTATATATATTTTATAGGTGATAGTTAAAAATTAATTATATTTTTTGTTAAATACAGAGCAGCATTTGACTTTGCTTTTTTATAGTTTTGACAAGATTTTTAAGTTATGAACATTTAGTAACAAGGAAACAATCACTTTTAAGAAATAAACTTTTTCTTCTTCTTCTTCTATATCTTAAGGGCCCACGATCAATTTATTGATCATTTTGGCTCCTATGCATGTAGATGGGATTTGCAATGTTTCTGTTACTGGTGGTGATGAGGAAATCTTGCTGGCAATTGTTAAATTCATATTTCAGTCCTACTTACTGCACTACTTATAATCAAACGCATTATAAGATGCTATATAACTTACCTCAAACTTTTGCTTTTTACGGGGAATATTAGGATAATCTTTTAGTCTCTCCAGGAGGTCTTTTAATCTTGGGTTAGTTGCTGATTTCTCAATTGCATTTTGCACTTTCTACATTTAAGAAAAGATTATAAAAATTTTCTGATGTCACGATCAATTATTTTTAAAATTTTTATTTTCATTTAATGAAGTGGTTTCGATAGTGACACTAAATAAAGGTAGTCATATTAAGTATGATAATATAACTATTCACCGTTCAGTCTAAAAATCTATAACTACCATATAACATTTTGTCTTTGAGAAAATATATGTGTTTGAGACAGCATTGTGGTACATTGTCACAACACTTTCTGTAAAAAGTCACATTATAAAAACATGCAATTTTTTTAAACCTAAAATTGTGTGAGATCCATGATTTCTAACTATTTTCAGTGACTAAACAAATATCACAATATTGCATTACTTCTTCTATATCTTAAGGGCCCACAATCAATTTATTGATCATTTTGGCTCCTATGCATGTAGATGGGATTTGCAATGTTTCTGTTACTGGTGTTGATGAGGAAATCATGCACTAGGGGTTTGAAGGCTTGAGGCAATAGACACAAATGTGTCAAGTGTTGTCGCCTCAACCGTTCCTTTTGAAAGATTGTTCCAGTCCCTGATTGTCTGGCAGGAATGAGCAGCTCCTATACTGGCTTCTTGCTGGTATGAGCCTGAATTGCCTGTCATGGCCTTGTCGCTGTCTATGGGGGAGAGAGACGAGTTTATGTTTAATACTGGAACAGTGGACCAGCCCATTATTTATCTTGTACATCATGGAGAGCCTGGATTGTCGTCGTCGTTTCTCCAATGGTGACCAGCCTAGTGTTTCTAGCATGCTGCCAACACTAGAGGTTTAATACTGGAACAGTGGACCAGCCCATTATTTATCTTGTACATCATGGAGAGCCTGGATTGTCGTCGTCGTTTCTCCAATGGTGACCAGCCTAGTGTTTCTAGCATGCTGCCAACACTAGAGGTATTCCTGTAGCGGTTTAGGACAAAGCGTGCTGCTCGTCGCTGGACCGCCTCCAACCTGTCAATGCTCTTCTGGGTAAATGGGTCCCAGACTGAAGATGCATAATCTAAAATCGGATGGATAAAGGCTTTATATGCTCTTTCTTTCACACAGGAGTTGCCAATCTTTAGATTTCGCCTTAAGAACCCTAGGGTCTTGTTTGCTTGGTTACATACATTGTTAATATGCTCGTCACAGCGGACCTCTCTTTGAATGGTAACACCCAGGTACTTTACGGAGGAAACTGGCTCATTATGTTTCCACAAATAACTCGCTAGATATTGCAACAGTAATATTTAGCCTAGTGACAACTTTGATTGTTTCAGTGTGCGTGATGTAATTTGTGACATAATTATTTCCTTCAGCTAAAGCGAACAAAAAGGAGGAGAAAACCTTTGACAAAATTTTAAACATGTCTTAGAGCAGTGTTTCCCAACCTTTTTGGCCATGTGCTCCACCTAAAAAGATATAATGCCCCCACCCCCAAGAAAGAAATTTAAATAAAAGAGGTCTCCATGATTCTATTACCAAAAATTTCAATTTTGCTGGCTTTTTAGGCCAAGACATTTAACATTGTGGGATAAAAATTACAATAAATGAAAAGTATTTTATTGCAATATATGACCATAAATAATGGTGATTAACTTTAAAATATATCGTGTTAACCCTTTTGAAACCTTATTACACTTCTTATCCCAGGGACTATCCCCTTCCAATAATCTGCAAATTGTCTCACCCAATAGTGGAAAACATTGGTTTACAGTAAGTTTGTTCAATTTTGATGTACCTCATGAAACCATATTGATTTTTTTAGGGGTGTGTTAAAATGGTCTTGGCACACACTAGCATGAAAAAAAAAAAAGGGGGGGGGGGGGGGTCCAAAAATGTGTGTGTGCAACAAGGGAAAGCGTGCATGAAAATTTGACTTTTTTTTTTGCCCTTTATTCTTGAATTTTATATGTAGATTAGTAATATTTGAAATATATAAAGACAGAGATTAGGGGAATCTTACTTTGAAAAAATAATACCTACCTCAATCCACTGCTCTTGCTTTACTTCCCCTTTGTTTACTTTAGGAACGTAGCCTTTTCCACAGTACTTTTCATTCTCTGACATGCATTTTGTATGTGTTTGGTAATCATTACCCCTGTTAGAGCAAATATTGAAGGCACTTCTCATATAAGAAAAAAGGTTATTTCATAGTTTATGATAAAATAATATGTGAATATTTTGTTATTTGCACATTCATTTGATATTGTTTGTTCAGTTTTCATTTGGGTAAATTGTTTGGATTCTCAGTTATATATCATCACACACATTACAATCCCTTTTCTTTTCAGACTATGGTAACATCAAGGGTTATTTTTACACTGATATTTTCAATGGTAACTAACTTTCAGAGATAGGGTGTTTTATAGATTTATAAATGTATCCGTCGTATTTCCATACAAGAATTTAATGTACATAATAAGCTTTATTAAACAAAATGAATCCACATGTACAGACATATTGTCTATTGCACTTTCAAATCTTTTATTCTACTACAAATAGGTTAGCAGTTTCCAAAGGAAAGGTTTTTAAGTTAAGTTGTGCATGAGGTAACAGTGCAAAGTAACTTACTTAACCATTCCAAAAAAAAAAAAAAAAAAGCCTAGCTTCTAAGTAGTTGATTCCTTTATCTTCCAACCAGTATTTTAAGTAACCCTGTTAATTCCAGGTTCAGCTTATTTGTTTCCAAAGGAAAGGTTTTTAAGTTAAGTTGTGCATGAGGTAACAGTGCAAAATAACTTATTTAAACATTCCAAAAAAAAAAAAAAAAAGCCTAGCTTCTAAGTAGTTGATTCCTTTATCTTCCAACCAGTATTTTAAGTAACCCTGTTAATTCCAGGTTCAGCTTATTTGTGTGCTCTCACCTATGACACCAGTATTAATATCTATTCAATCCTGTTGTCTACCCGTCCCGAATAATAGTCATTTCAGACATTTTTCCCACTCCTCATGTCATTCCCTGCAATCTAGCCGCACCTTCCTTTTAACTACCTCAAAACCCCTGCCACCCAATCCTATTAATCTCTCCTACTCTCATCTCTCTCACCTTAACCAATTTACTCATTAAATTTCTTCCCATATGGCTTACCTCAACTGAGCTGATATAAAAAATCTATTCAAAGATTAACGATTTAAAAAGAGGTTGAAGCTGGTTAATCTGAAAAATTGTCAACTAACTGCAGATTAATCAATGAATACAATGTTATGCACCCCACCTTATCCAAACAATGACACTTATACTAAACTTATAAGTAAAAATAGACTAATAGACTACTTTCAGGTGGGGTGACTGACTGTCTGTGTTGACTCTGGGGGTGTACCGTATAGCTTAGTGTTAGTAGTTTCACCAGCCATATCTCCCACAAAATTACACTATCGTCTCATGGTTAACTTGGAGACTGACCAATGCCCAAAAAATATATTTGTTACCTATTAAGCCTATTACTATTTATTACACCTTTATTTTAGTCTAAATTTACTTAGCCTACTTACTACTGTTACAGTTGTTAGTTGTCTTGATGATGCTGATGATGTTTGAAAATATTTCAGTTGCATGTAAGTTACACTGCAAGTGTAAGCCTTAGCCTTAAGCGCTCTTTATCTTCGATAAGCCCCTCAAATGCACTTCATCTATCACAATCACAATGATAATAATATTAATAATAATATTAAATACATACCAGAAATCTTTACCACAGTCAACACAAGCTAAAACAGCGCATTGACGGCATCGCAGAGTATGTTTTTCAACTTGATTTTTTTTCAAAGCTTCGCCACAAGCATTACAGTTGAAGAATACCATTTTTTAGCAGTGATAATTAAGGTATTCTGGAAATAGTATTCTGAATATGTACGCGGCAATCTTTGGCTTGAAAATAAATATAACAAGTTTATTGCTTCTTGAAACTAAAAATTATTCAACAACACAACTTGAATAAGAAGTAAAAGTGCGGTATAAAACGTGGAAGAAGATAACAAATTTGTATTAGTTATTCCCCTTCCCAAGAGTCCTGTAATTAACCCGATCCGACAAAAGTGTTGGAATAGAAATAGCAGAATATATTTATTTAAAATGTAATTAGAACAAACTCATAATATTTATATTATTTAATAAATACCTCTGACTCCATATTTTAGATATTCCAACATTTTGAAGTTTATTGTGTAGACAGTTATATTTATACAAAACCTTGCCTAATACCTTCCACTTCTTTCTAATAATAACTAAACTTGGCGGATGTCAGAACATAACATAAAATAAATATGATTCATACATTATCTCACTGGTATAAGTTTTGAAATGGAGAGACGCTTATATATTTGTCTTGTAAATTGTCAGAAGTGAAAATTTTAAAATTAAATTAGTATTTAAAAAGTTAAAATAATTTAACTATAATATATCGATCTCGGTGAAAAGGGGGACAAAATCAAACATGTACCGTTTCCATAGTTATAGTTTTAAACATTAAAACTGAATACACCAATTTCGATATTCCTTTTGAGTTTTTTAATTAAAATTTTTAATTTGTTACTCGCGCTGAAAATGTTAATTTGCTATAAAACACTTTTAACAAGTCTTACTAGACCGACAACTACTACTACCGGTACTACTATACTATTGTTGATTGCAACTTATTGCCATTGCAAGTACAACTGGACTGACTACTGACTATACTATTACTAAATTACTATTAACTATTAGTAATATTATTAGACTTATTACTTAGTTAAGTATACTATACTGAGTATACTTTACCGATACCAGTAGAGTATGATAAGTATTAAGTATAGTTTATAGCATTAATATTCTATAGGAACTACACACTAATTTATTATCATTGTTACCTCTGTATGGTGCAAGACTTAGTAAACAAAATTTTAGGGTGTGAGTGTGAGACTAATCTAATAATTATGTGTTGGAGTGCATAGTATTGAACATTTGTACTTAGACTTGGACTCAGAGAAACACTGTTCTAAATAGAGCTGGCTCAGCTGGTAATTCCTACTTAATTTTGTTCAATAATATAAATATACCCAACGTGGGCCAAATTGTTGTAAAAAATACCCTACCACTAGTTACTAGTACTAGTACCAGGATTTCAAGAATCATACTGCATATATAATAGTGGCAGTAACCTGTTGCAACTTAAATCCCTTTTCATTATTTCTTTTTTTCAAATTCCTTAGATTTCATTTTGACCAACAATGCCTAAAGAACATTCAAAGCAAAGATCAAAGATGAAGCAGAGAATTAATACTGTGCCTTATGTTAAAGGCTATCATCCTCCAAGTAGTGAAGAGCAAATAAAAGCCATAGGATTTAAAACAAAAAACCTACCTGTAGAATACTCTGACATGTCAATAGATTCACTTAAGTTTTTTTCTCCCATACCACAACCTACAACTGAAGACGATTGGCTGGCACAGTATCTGGAAGAGGGGCAAAGCTTCAGGTTATACAAATATCATAACAATTTTAATTTCTTTACTCCAGTTGTTCAGACTTTTACTATTAGTTTTTAATTTTATGGTTTAAATTTTGTTTAGCCACTGTTATAGTGCTACACTCATTTAATTTTTTTCTGCCCACCAAAAAAAGTAGTAATATTTATGTTATTTCTTTCCTTTAACTTTAATTAACACAAAATTTGTATGGGTGATTCAATGATTGTTATTAAAGTTTTGTTAAATATTTCTTCATTGAGATTTATTGAATTGAACTATATCTTTAAATGGTTAAAATTAAGATAATTAACTTAATTTCAAATTGACCATTATTTAACATAAAAATAATAATATAAATGTAACAAAGTAAATCATATTCCTATAACTCGGTAAATACTTTAAATAGTATTTTAAATTATTTTAAAGGCAAATAATTTATGACCTGATGGGTAGGCTATGTGAAGTTTTAGACAATGTATTAAAATAGTTAACATTTTGATGGAATTAAAATGGTTTGGTATGGAATTTTAAAGTTTATTTGCTGAATATAACATTTTATAACAATCAGGGGTTTCTATTTTATTTTCAATTATTATTTGCTATTCTTTACTGTGTGAAACTATTTGTAACTATAGCAAAAATGTTTCTCAAATATGATATCTCTGAAACGTGTTGTGTGATTTAATGCATTAACTTCTTGCATTTTATGTGACTGTGATGCTGTGTAGCACAAAGTAAAGTGCCCCTGGAGGACCCTGCAAAAAATAAATTGGGTCCATGCCAAAGCCCTTCCACCCCAACTCTCTAAAAATCATTTAAAATGTATAACTATTTTTCCATGAACAGATATTCAGTATGACAAAAATAGTTACATTTTCAAGAAAGATATGCATTAAATTTCTTGTACTTATACAAACTGTTGCGAATCTTGAAATTTTACCTTTGAATTTAAATACAAATATGATGACTATTTTGGTTTCAGTTTTGATTTGCCACCCCCCACCCCTTTCAGGTCCTTCAACCTTGCATGGACACAGAACTTTTTGTTTTACAACATCACTGGCTTTATTTGTTTTCATTTACAGAGAATATCTGCTAGAAAATCCATGGTTCTCCAAAAGAAAAGGCAAGTTTATGAGACAAAAATTTGAAGCTGAAGGAAAAACAATCTGTGAAAGATACCCCGATGGTAAAATATACATTGCCAAATTTGGATCCTTCAAAAGCAGTGACATAAATTTTGATGATTTGATTGATTATGTAAAGAAATTTTTGTGTGTTCCAGTACACATACTTGAAGGTATGGACATTATTAAAAAAGACAATGAGTTAGTTCTCATACAAGATCCACAATGCATTCCATCAAGTCGTCCTGGAGCAAGGGTGAAAAGAAGTACTTTAGACACAAGGTTTTTATACTGAATTTACATATGTAATTATAATCCCTTTAAAATATTCAATTAACTTATGCATGTACAGATTGCAAATAATAATTTTATTATCCGATATTATCTACAATTTCCTTCGATAGCCTGCAGAGTCAGTCAGACACAGGATATGTATGCTTACAAAAGTATATATTACTCTGCTTCTGAATCCCCGTTACCCACTGATGCTTACTTATTTAAAACAGAGAATAGTTACGATTCAAATTTTTTTTAAACTTCAAATTCACCATTTACATTAAATTAAATAATGTCATTTTAATTTGTCCAATAGATTCAATGCCCAGACCAAGCACATACAAATTGGAGTAGATTCAATTCTCCCTAAAATGCACTCCATGATACCACCTGATGCTTTATGTCTGATAGGATTAACTCCTTATGATTTATATGGGGATGAGACAGATTTGTTTGTTGCTGGTATGGCAGCTGGTAACAGAAGAGTAGCTATTTTCAGTTTGCTGCGGTACAATCCTGCTCTTACTTTTTCAAAGGAATTCTGGTAATTTCTGTTAAATGTTAAAATGTATGTTTTATTACTACTCACAAGAAGTATTTTTTAATTGTTATTTAACAAAACACAAAATAAATTAGATTACTTTTTTTTGGGTTAAAAAATGCAATCTAAAATTTCAGGTATGAGATTGTAGAAGATAATAACATTGATCTTAAAGAGAAGCAGAAATTAATTTTACAAAGATGCTGCAAACTGGTTGTGCACGAATTGTGCCATTTATTAGGCTTACCTCACTGTATCTACTTCCGCTGCTGCATGAATGGTTCAGGTATTGTTTCATAATAAAATATTATTATTTATATGCAGTACCGGTACAATATTAGGTTTTGAATATTAAATGAGTGATTAGAATTTGAAAACAATGAAAGCTGTCAATTACTTAGTCATTCTTTGTCTGTAGCTAATTAATAATTTCATTATTGGAGAGAACAATTCTAAGAAAAAATATTTAATTATATTACTAATTTCTTTATACAGAAGCCAGAATAAACTCTAGACATTATTTTATTAGCACTTGTAATACCTCATGCAAAAATTATATAAGCCCTTAACATGCAGTTAAAAAACCTGAGGTACACACTAAACAAATATTTCCTTGACTTCATACAGGACATTTGTCAGAAGATTTTAACCAGCCCATGATGCTATGCCCAGTAGATCTTCATAAGCTCCAAGCACTGATTGGCTTTGATATTGTAGATCGATACCAAAATTTATTAGATTTCTACCAAAAGCATGGCTTTAGAGAGGAGGCTGAATGGACAAATAGAAGAATTAAATACATACAATCACAGAATGTAAATTATGTAAAGTAATTCATGCTAAGATGTGGAATTTATTAAAACCAGTAATACAGAACATGAAAGCTCTGGGCATATAGTGTAAGAATGATTTGTTTATTGTGGATCAGTTTAAAAAATTTATCATGACGCAAGAGATTTATATCATTTATTCATGAAGCTTAACTATGACAAAACAGAAGCACTCCTTATTCATGATCTCAAATCATCCTCTAACTCAACTCTCCCACTTTATTTCATGTAGGTAATTCCGATATACCGTTTACATTCTCTGCTGGGAATATGGGTTATATTCTGTAAAACAACATGTCTCTCGATAATCATATCTCTCTCATTTGTCGCTCTGCATACATCGCTGTTCGTCAGATCAGCTCCATCCGCCAATACCTCACTTATTTTTTCTTAATGCAACAAAAACCCTAGTCTGTGCTCTAGTTCTCTCTCGTCTTGACTATTGTAACTCTCTTCTATCAGGTTCACCAAAACACTTCTTAGAAAAATTAAAAAAGGTTCAAAACTCAGCAGCTAGGCTAATTCTAAAAGCAAAAAAACGTGATCACGTCACACCACTACTTCATTGGCTCCCTGTGCAAGCACAGAATGACTACAAACTCTCTGTTCTCTGCTACAACTTTTTCTCGAATTCCTCCCCTTCCTATCCAACTGACCTTCTCTCTGTCCATTCAAACTTTCGACAGCTTCGCTCCTCCGCTGACGCGCATATTCTTTCTGTCCTCAAGACTCGCACAAAAACTTAGGATGAATGATTGTTCTCTTTCTGTGCCCCCAAAAAATGGAATTCTCTTCCATCACACATCCACAATATACCGACCCACGCAGCCTTCAAAACTGCACTCAAAACACATCTTTTTAAACTCTACTATCCTGACTGATTCCCACCTCTGACTGACGAACGACGCTGCTGGGTGTCGTCCATGGCTTGACATGTAAATAAATTTAAATATACATTTGTTTTGTTTTATTTAATTCATGTATGTTAATTAATTTTTAAGTTTTTGATTATTTTTGTTACATTGTACGTAAAGCGTGGTATCCCAGTCCTAGGCTGGAGTACCATGCTATATAAAACCTCTTATAATAATAATATATAAGAGGTCAAAGTGCAATCTTTTAAAATCAGAACCAGATTTTTGGGGGTGGAGGGGGGAGGTTTGGCAGGACGCCTGCATTGGTGTGGGGGGCACCTTTGAAAAAAAAAAAAGAGAAGGTTAAAATATATATTTGAGTTTGTATCATTTATTCATAAAACAGAGTGATTTTGGGGTGGCAAACGACATAAACTGTGATCCCAGTGTCACCTTCTTTACTTCAAAAACACCACATAAGTCCTTTTCTAATTCAATAAAGTCTTGAATTCAATTTTGATCTCTTCTTGGGTGTAGATGCAGCAATGACCATTTTTCATATTTCCATAAATTATACACTAATGTTTGCGAGCCTGAGTCTTGGGGTGAAAATAGTCTACTCATTGGTCTTCATTTTAGCGATAATCATTGAGCTAGGGCATCTGGGATTAATGCCAACAACATTTATAATGTTGCTGTCACCCACCCACATCCATGCTTGTTAAATAAGTCTAAATAAATTAAGTAGTTTTAAGCTCAATGTTCGCACCAAGCCACTTCTGATCTAAGGTCAAGAGAAGGGGAACAAAATTCGGGGATTAATATGGTAGAACGCCTGGATTGTTTGTCAGTGTGGCTTGTTGAGTTAGTTTATTTGACATTTCTGGTGTTTTATCACCCTGAGTGCTTTTCATTTCCAAACCAGTCTCAACCAACCATTGAATGGTAAAAAAAAAGTCTAATAATGCATTTGGCGGATCACAGGGACAGATGTGCGGAATTTAACAAAAAACTTCCTGCACTGCAAGTACATTGTACTGATTTTCATCATTCACCATATGATACATAAGTAGAGCAAAATTACTCAATACACTAAATCAAGAATCTTCAGTCACAGCAAATGCAGCTTTGCAACTTTTTTCATCGCTTCATATAAGATCATGTTAGTTTCAATTCTTGGTAAAAAGTGAAAGCTTTGTCCTAGTTTATATTTGTGTATAGTATAAAGGTATGTTATATATATTAATGTCAATCTTTACTATCAGTATAAGACGACTACCTGGTCTTATGAAATTGTTAAAGATTGTTAAAAAAAGTATGGTACCGTGATAATAATAAATTAACAATTTTCTTCAAATGCCAATAGTTTTAAAAAAAATTGTTTCAATTTTAATCATTAAACATTCTTTAACCACTCAATTAAGCTTTCCTATAAAATTTATAAAACATTACTTTGTATTTTCAAGAGAATCACATAAATAATTTACAGTAGGGTACTACAAATTAAAGCTATTTCAAGTGTCATTCACAGATATACAGTTATAGCTTTGTATCATTGAGCAGTACCATAACAGTTTTTTTTAAAGATGCAATTACTTCTTCCTATCAAATCCCTTAGCAATTCCAATATCTTATTTTAAGTACTTTACCTCTATTAATGTTTAACTCTGACTTTGATATATATACTGTTCTATAAGATGTCTTATGCATAATTGTCAGTAGCTTTATAATAGTAAATAAAGTAAAAAATTGTAATTTGTCAACTTGACTTTTAATACCAGGTAGCCAAGTACTGATATACAAAAATCAAGAGTTCAGCAATGTTGCAAAAACTTATTTTATAGTACCAGTATATAGCAACAACAAAACAAAAAGCAAAAGAAGTGTGACATTTTGTGAAATATTTTATTTTGCATTCCACTTTCAAGAATCAATTACAATCAAACAAGAAGAACTGCATTGATACAGCCATCATTTTCAGGATTGTTTGTAACTTGAGCATATTTACCTGCAAAAAATATAAGTATATACATCAAATTTATTTAAGAAGTAATATATCAGTACCAAACATTTTAAAATGCAATATTAGTAAAGCTTCAAGAAAAAATATAATACCTCTTTTTAATTAGATGAAACACAATAAAGTACAGTAATTCTAAAAGTTAATAAGGGTGTTCTATGACTTTATTAAAGTTAAAAGGCAAAAAGAAATTCATTTTTTCTTAATGCATAAATCTGTGAATCCATCAACTAAGTAATTTAATATGAGGAAATACTTAAGACATATTTGTATGGACTTAATGTATAATTTATATATAAGGTAATGGATCATTAAATAATAGACCAAGTTTTGGAAACTATTTCCATAAACTTAAATTTGAAGTGATTTAAGTTTTAAGTTTTTAATAAAACAGTAAAAAAAATACATTATTCAGTACCAATTTATTTTATTTAGAACTATGTTTCACAATACATACCCCAAACTACTTTTCCAGCATGTGTGACAAGACCCAATTCACTAATATTAACCTACAAAATTAAACATGGTACAATTATTTTTTTGAAACAAAAATTTAGGGGTGCGCATCATATGTGAATTGGGTTATACATGTTAATGTACTGTAAATTTTTTTACCGGGAACTAAAACAATAAGGTAGAGAATTAAGTTAATCATATTATCAATATTGTTTGGTTAGCATATGAACAATATAGTGATGGTGACTTTCCCCAAACATTTCACTTACCTCAATAATTGTTCCTTTTGTGATCACACCTAAACTTGTGTACATTGCTGAACTTGGGTTTTTCTTTACACCAAGGATAGGCAAAAAGAATGAAGCTTTCAGCTCTGGGTGTGTAACGTTTGCTTTTTTAAACCTGAGTCCCTAGAAAATTCATTTATAATAGAAAACATATTATAATAATAATTAGTCAAGAATTCTAATAATAGCTTGTACCACGACTTAAATAAAAAGCTTTCTATGCAAAAGAATAATATCCAAAAGACATTAAAAAAAAAAAAGCTGAGCTTATTATTATGACAATACTTTAACATCCCAATAAAAATTTAGAAGTATTTTGAGTGCCATGATTTTTATTAAAAGCTTCATTTGCGTGAAAGTGAATTTGTTGGCAATATTTCAAGACCCTATAAAATAAAATCTAACAGCCAAACCTGTAATAAGAAAATTAGCATTCCTTATTATCCTTACCATAGGTCTAATAAATCGTTCAAATTTCACTGGTTTTCTTGTAAAGCCATCACCAACAAATGTGACCTTAGTGACCATTCGCTTCCATGCTTTTCCTGGAAAAAATTGTAAAATTAAATTATTTTTCAAGATTAACCCTTTTTTTGTACGATAATGTGAAAGATAATATTTGGACAAGTGATGAATGTTATAGTATCATGGTATTGTCACAGTTACTTCCCTTTTGTTATCATTGTACAAAATCTGTGTTTATTGTACTCAGATATCAGAAGCAATGTTGTCTTGTTTGTAACTACCCATTAAAATCTAGACACAAAGCTGTGCAGATGTGTTAGCTTTCTTTGTGTTAGATAAAGTAGTACTGATTATAATAATGAAAATTATAGAGCAGTTTGAAATGTTATAAGTTGAAAATCTGTGACAATTGGTACTGTACAGTGTTACTTACTCTTTGTTTTTCCTGTTTTTACAACTTTAAAAACTTCAGCCTCTGATACACCCTTTACTTTTGGAATTGGCACATCCCATTTTCCCTGGAGAAAAAGGTTAATGAAACAATCTTTTAAATTTAAACAAATAATTAAATGACAGCCAATGTTTGTAAAAACTGTTTGTCATTTCCACAGTTGGCAAGACCCTGGAATCACCAACATTACCCTTGTACACACATTCCTCTCTTTACCTTTATGTCATTTTGAACTACACTAGCCTTAAACTTAAAGTTTTCCTAGTTCATCACAGATGGTTAAGAGCTGGGTTTAGTACAGTTCTTAAATCTTTAATGAATTACTTGCCCGAGTATTTAATGGAAGCATTTACGCAGTGGCGTACCTGGGGGGGGGGGGGGCCAAATTCAAAAGCCCCACCGGGCCCCTCCTTGAGGGGGGCCCCCAAAGCCGCGCCTAAAAAATTTTTTTTTTACTTAAAATAATGTTTAGTACAGTTCTTAAATCTTTAAAGAATTACTTGCCCGAGTAGTTAATGGAAGCATTTACGCCGTGGCGTACCTGGGGGGGGGGGGTCCAAATTCAAAAGTCCCACCGGGCCCCTACTTGAGGGGGGCCCCCAAAGGCGTGTCTAAAAAATTTTTTTTTTACATTAAATAATGTTGAATGTCAAAATGCAGGGACCCTAAAGAGGCCAAGCCCCCGGGCCCCAAAATCCCTAGCTACGCCACTGCATTTACCCTGAGAAGATTCAATTATTTAATAATAAAGCAATAAAAAAACTTACAGCCTTTTCTTTACGTTTCTGCTTTATAGTATTTGAGAGAATTTTGGCTCTGATCTGATTCTCACGCTCTAACAAATATGTTGGGTTTCCATATTTAGAATCAGTGTCTGAGGCCTTTTGCTTAGTCTTCCTCTCTTCATGCATCTTAATGCTAGATAGAAAGAAGGTATACAATTTTTAAAAAAAAACATTAGGGGTTTGCATCATATGTGGATTGGGTTATACATGATAATATACTGTAACTTTTAGAATGTTAAAATTTTAATATAAAAAAATGGATATAAGAAATAAAATACTTACGTCTTTTTCATCTGAATTTTTTCTGAATGTCTCTTCTTGTTGTATATTTTAGCTTTGATACCTCTCAGCTTCTTTGCTTTCTCTGCCATTTCATGAGGAAGACGGCCTTCTTTCTTTCTCCTGATGGTGAATGAAAATTGTAAAGTTATTTTTGTAATTTATAGAAACTTTATATGCGTTTATGATGTATATATACTTATTAATAAATAAATATAGGCAGCCATACACTTACATTGATTCCCACATTATTTACAACCAAGTTATAGACACTATCTAATGTTTAATTTAACAACCATCAACCTTTCATAATTACTTAAATAATTATGTTATATGTAAAATATCATTCAGCATAATGACTTTAATTTTAATGACTTTTTAAATAGAAAACTGTACATTTGGAAAAAATAAAAGCTTGGAGATAACATGTCATGTTTCTTTCTTTCTTATTTTTTTTGGTTTAAAAAGTTTAGCATTTCATCATTGTTAGTTCTTTTCAAACACTTTGCTTCTTTAATAGAGCTGTCAACATTTTTTTTATTAACACCTGAACCATCGAACCATGTAGCCAATTCCCAAATATCCGAGGAAGGTGACAAGGTCATCGCCGCAAGCTGGTATGATTATTAATTTATTTATTATCTATCAAGGTAGCAGTATTGATTTTTTAAGTCATTTTGGGATATACCCGGTATCTTCAAATATCAGATTATCATTACTCTCTACATTTATTTCAATAAATTCTACATTGACCTGTTTAATTGTTTCATCATCTAAACCTGCTTCTAGTAAACTTAGCATATTGGAGCGTATGAGCTTTGAAAGACCTAATGAGCTTTTAACTCTCATAAAATTTTTACAAAAGGGGATAAAGAGAGGAATATTTCTTATTAAAAAAAAAAATTGTCATTCTTGTGAGAAAATTTTTTAGCAGACCAATGTATGGCATTAAGTTTCTAGACACACAAAACGAGTGCCATACTTGACAAATTGCCACCCAAAATAGTAGGCAAATGCTCGTGGGAATCTGGGGAGTCGAGAGCCTGCGCCAATGGTAGTAGAGGTTTAAAAAAAAATTACCATTAGACTGTAAAAAAGGTCTTAAATTTGGGAACCAACTTAATTGCTTGGACAGGCACTCAGGTCCCCATTGGCAGCCCTATCTTTTAATGCCACATAGGTCCATGAATTTGATGCATTTATTTATCGCTAGGGCTAGGGTAAACTCAACCTTTTGAAAGTTGGTATTTTCAGATAACTACCATGATAAGTATAATATCACACAGCCAGCTTGTTAATTTTAAAATTGATATGCGGCGATATGCAGTACAAAAAAAATGCAGGCCAGAGAATTTTTTTTCATGGCCAGGACTCCGGTAACATTATAACTACCTTATAACTTATACTTATTCTTATTGATAGCCATAATAATGGAAATGGCCTAAATAAAATAGGCCTAGGACAAGGACTATTAAATAGCCTAAATTCTAAAAATAAATTTAAAATCAAATATCAACCTTTTACATTTAATGATTAATGAATTAAAGTGTAGTCCTACTAATACTAATACTAAAAATAGCCTACAAAACAATTATTAACAATAGTTAATAGTATAGCAAACTTACTTTCTTTCTTCATAATCAAGTCTCCTTCCATGACGTTTGGTATGAAGCTCAATATATTCATTTTGGGGCTAGAAAAATAAATGAACAACTTAATAATATCAAATCAAAGTTAAAAATAATCTCAACAAAACCAAAGAAAACAACGTTTGTTTGTATATCGAAAATTGGTAGTTTAACAATGTGTTTTAAATATATAAGTAAAACTGAGAGGAAAATGCAAATTATTAACTATTTAATAAAAGAGCATCAAAATAACAATCATACTTGACCTTTAAAGTAAAATACTTTTACAGTATGCTAAATATTTCACACATTAATACCTACCATTTTTAAGTGGAAATTCTGACTTGCTGGAAGTAAGGCTTAGAACATTAAAAAGAAACACTTCTGTTTAAAAAGTTTAAGATAATATATTTAAAAATGTTGAAACAAAAGAGCTCATATTATTTCCTGTCTCTTTGCCTAGTTGTCTATAGAAGCTTTGTCTAAAGGGAAATTTATTTTATCATTCAAATACAATAATCACTTTTTATGTTTCAAAAGTCAAATGATATTCTTAACTTTTTCTAGATCAAACAACATGGATATATGCTATATAGATACAAATTAAAAGTATATAACTTATAACATCGCGCGACTTTGACTTTCATTTCAACTCTCAAATAACTCCTGGCCATCTAATGCACTGTAAATAAATAAATAAATAATAAATTCTGCTACTCATCAGTAGCTTGTAGTTCTTCTTAAACTTTAACAATTTTACTGTTTTCTTTGGCGTTGCTTTGATAATCGCACGAACATCAAAGCTAAATTGAATACATTTATTATTACAGGTAAATCATTTTTTTTTTTGCGTTTCTATATAAAATATTAAATTTAAATGTATAAGTTTAAGTCTAAAGTCTAATTTATTATAATATTATAGTATATTCTATATAAGTAATTTTAAGTCTATTAATGCTATACTATAACTAGTCCTGTAAAAGTGTAACACGTCATAAGTCGATAATAAAGTAAGTAGTATATTAAATTAAATAGTCTGAGATCTAAAATGTAATTGACAGTCTGTCTCTCAGTCAGTCACACTACACTTTTTCAAGGCAAGAGGGTTGTGAGTCAGAAGTCAGAGTGACAATCATCAATGAATCAATGCTAATACTAATACTGACACTCAGTGTCAATTTTTGTTATTGTTAGATTTCATTTGATATTCACACTGATCCTGACACTGATTGTGTGAATGTATGAATAATGAAACAACTTAGGGGCCATCCATAAATGACGTCACACAAATTTTGCTTATTTTTTACCCCCATCATCATAAATCGTCACAAAAAGGTAGACCCCCACTCAAATATAACGTCACATTTCTCTGCACCCCCCCCCTATAAAAATTCCCAGTGTCCACTGCTGTCCTTGACAAACATTCACCTCCTTTTGATATCAGATTACTGCACCTGCGTCAGAAACATTTCACTAGAGCAGTGGTTCTTAACCAGGAGTAAAAGTACCTTCCCACAGATATGTTATTTTAGGTAGGGAAGGGTGGGGCATTTACCCCCACCCCCTGAATGTGCAGATTTTATTTAAATTGCTATGTACTGTGGTGCCTCCAGTAATAGACAACTTAAAAAGCCGACCAAATTTTGTTCCCACCCCCCCCCCCCCCCGAAAAAATCCCAGAAATGTAGCCCCTGCCTTCCCAGCCTTGGAATGCGGAGGACCAGAAAATTGTATTTGCTGCCATTGCTAGTTGTTGCTTTAAAAAAAAATCAGTTTTGATTCAGTTTGCTTAGCAGCAGCAAATATTTTTTCTGTTGAATTTAGTTTGCGCATTAATTGTACTGGTAATTTTTTTCCTTGTTTATAAAAAGTTAATTAAAGAAAGAAAACTTTGATAACTAAATTATTTAATTATTTTCATATTTAAAGTTTTATTACAATATAATTTATACGGTGTGTGTGGGGGAGGGGGAATGTTTTCAACGGAGTTGGCCTGCAGGAGTGGGCCTACAGCGCTGCAAAAAGGTTAAGAATCCCTGCCCTAGAGCATTTACTAAGATCACCACCCCTACCCCACCCCGGGGTCAACCATTTTTTAGTCCAATCCCACTTCAAATGGTAGCCCTAATTCCATGACTCACGACTCCACATTTTGACATAACGTCTCTCGACTGTCAAAGTCACTACACCCTGATTCTCCTCGTCTGTAACGGCCTATAACTTGATCAGAGACCATTTTTCGGAACTCGCATACCTGTGCTGATTCTTTCAGTGATCATAGTTTAAAAATAAAATAATTATAATTGTTGTTTAAAAGAATAATGTTAAAAATGTCTGTGATTTGGGACTATTAAGTGCAAATCTTTACTATAATATTTCGCTTTTCGTGTGACGTTACATTGCTCCAGCCCCTCCCTCCTGTTACACATAATCACAAAAATATGACCACCCCCCTTTTCATGACGTCATTTATGGATGGCCCCTTACAAGTACCACATCCCTGTCACTAAGTTGACCAGAATATTATAATATATGCTTTCGACAATGATTAAATCATGAAGGTACCTATTACCAATGTTCCCGCTAAGGTTTGTTGGTTCGTGTGCAAAATCATAAAGTTGTGTGCAAATTTTTACAGCATCAATTTTTTGTGCGCAAAATTTTCAGCCTACAGACACAAACACACACTTAAGTGGAAATTAGCTGTGCGTACCCAAAACTGCTGCGCGGCGTCTGCGAGATTGCTGCGCAGCCGCACAGCTTAAAGGGAACATTGCCTGTTACTGTAGATTATTATTATTATTTTACAGTTTTTTATGTAATTTTTGGGGGAAATGTATTTGTAATAATGTATTTGAATAAAAATCGAGTTTTTAAAAAAGAGAAGTTATTTGAAGTGTGTGTTTAAAAATTTTTTCAGAGTTTTCATCGGCCTAAAATGATACAGTCAGAATTTATTGATGACAAAGTTAACAAAAGCACAATGACAAGTAGCTTGACAGATTCAACACACCATGATGATGCATCAGTGTTTGCAGCATCTCTTATGGAGCAAGTAAACAAAGAAGACATAGCTTCAATGGTATACATTCAAAGAGATATGTAAGTAAAAATGAGGCAATATAATTGAAACACATATTTTGAAATTAAAAAAAAATTAATTATATTCTCTTTGATTTTCTACTGTAGGAATAAGAGCACTAATTATTTTATGTTTTAAACACCAGTTATACATTCTTAAATATTTTTTCTAACAGGTTATCACGTTTTGAAAAGACAAATGAAATGTTGATAAATTTTAATATTCTGTCTTCGGGGCGTTATGAAGCTACACTTAGAGACTTCCAGAAACACACTCAGCTCTTGTCTGAAATGAAGAAAGATTTGGATACTGTTTTTAAGCGTATCAGGTATAAAATATTTTTGATTCCAATCAAAATATATTTTATTATTATTTTCTGTCATAGCATAAAGGAAGTAAAAGCATACTTTTACAGAGATTCCAGGTTAATAACTTATTTTGAATTCTTGATTAGGGGGTTAAAGTACTTAGTAGATTTAGTTAATATAGCATGCATGAAAACAACAATGAACTATCAGGGCTTGAATCTGATTGTCTTGTTACAGCAATGGGCCTAAGGGAACCCTTTTCCTTTTTTTTTAAAATAGATATTCAAAATAATTACCTTGCATTTGCTTAAAGCTAGAATGACAAAAATAAAACTTACACATTATATACAAATTATTTTTTAAAATTTAACTTTTTTTTTTCAAATTTCAAGTTATAAGCATATGTTGGAGTTTCCCCAAATTATATGCCATGAAATAACCAAAAAAGAAAGAAAATAGAAGGAAAAAAAATGAAACTATTTATTTCTTACAGAGTACTCAAGCAAAGGCTTGAAAAAACATACCCAGAGGCATTTTCAGGTGAGCTGTCAACTAATGCTTCATCTAATTCTTCATGAAAAGAAAAAGTAAATCTTAATAAGACAATGCAATATTGACTGTTATAAAACTTTTTTTGGCATGTTCTTCGTTGCATAAAACACATCTTTACTTAAGATTTGAATTACTATATCTGTTGTCCAGTATGGGATTTCATTAATAATTGTTGCCACTGAATATTATGTTTTATTACGTGCGGTGTGTGTTTGAGAGATTGCTAAGTTAGTTAACACTCTTCTTGCACTTGACATGGTGACATATTTTTATGCTCATTATGACATATTGTATAGTCTGTTTTGTGACATACATTTTATTCCTCTGTCAGACTTAAAAGGAACTTTGTGAAAGGAGGTTGTGTTTTATTTCTCTCTGATAGCGAGCTGCACTATATGTATGTGTTTATGGAATTTACAGCCTGTGTATATGATTAGATATTAGAGTTAAATTTATTGTGATAAAGGAATTGAGTGTTGATTCAGTGCTAGTACGACGTTTTACAACGTGTGAAAGAACTTGATGAATTAACCAACCTAGTAGAAACAAGAGTTGATGTATTTATTATTTAAATGCCTTATGCAACACCATACAGGGTCAAAAAGGTTAATAATCTGTCTTTTTTTCCCCTTTTCATTTAACATTAAAAACATGAAACAGTTTACAGCTCAGTTGCCTTCAGTTTTTACATTCATATAACGTAATAACATATACTGTAACATTCAGCTGAAATCATGCAAAAATTATTTAGGACTTGAATCTTCATATTTTTTTTTTGTTGTTTTTGTTTGTAGGGATTTTTAAAGCAACTATCATTTAAAATCTTTTGACTCTTGCCAAATAGCTCACAATATAAATATATTACTTAGTTTATAGTGTTTGAGAATGGAAGTTTGAGAGAGACACATTGGTAGGCTATCAGACTACCATAGCGAGGTGTGTTTAGCCTTCTGTTTTTATTTTTGATTCACATTCCAACCCCCACAGCCACCTATTTTTTTCAGGGTTTCTTTAGTCCTCAATGCATTATATATCTTGCTTTCCATGTGTGCTTTTTTCTTAAAGTGGTTAAACTTATTTGCAGCCTGCAGCAGTGTTTACAATCTAATTTCTGATGAGGATGAGGAAGATGACAGCAGTGATGACAGTCTTGTCCCCATTGAGTCCATACAAAGACCAGGACAGACACCTGCCAAGAGTGGAGGCATTCCTATCTCTCAATCACCACTACCCCCTTTAGTTACTGTTACAAACACTGGATCTCCTACAACCCCAGAGGATGAGGAGACATAGACAAAAAATCCTATATGTAAATAATAATTAATAAGATAATGTTAAAAGGATGAAAATATGATTTTATTGACGTTTATTTGCAATAATGATCATGTTAAATTAATTGAGTTATTAAGTAATAATATAATGCTATTATAATGCAAAAAATTTTTTTTGTTTAAATAATGTGTGAAGTATCTTTGTGATCATCGCAAGAACCCGTATTTATGAACAAAGTAATTGTTATGTTCTTAAAATACATATTATATTGGTGAAGAGCAATTAGTTCATAGATAGGAAAATTTTATTCCAGAGTAAACTCCCTTGCACCATAGTCTGTTAATAATTGTTTGAAGTGTAGGCTTTTTATTCATACTTTATATTACTTTACAAGGCCTTTAAACGCATGAGAGCAGCGAGAGCTTACCATATAATTTGTGATGCCATATGCTGTCTTGATAAATGGATGTCAAAATATCTCATTCTAAAACATAATTTATTATTATTAATCAAAATATTAATTAAATGTACGTAAGTGGATATATAAATTCAAAATTGGATTTATGATCATATTTTAAATATGTCTAGATCATTGTTGGGCAACTGTGGCTCTGGAGCCAAGCAACTCTTTCAATTGATGGATGTGGCTCTTTCTTTGTACTAATCTATGAGCATGTGGCTCCCAAATTTATTTTTCTCAGAAGAATCATATAATTCATAAAAATAGGCTCCTCACTCAAAAAAGTTGTTGGCCCCTGGTCTAAGTGTTTAGAGTTGAAAGGCTGTTGATTTCTAATGTTAAGTCTGATCAATGCATTTGACTCTGTAAAAAGCTTTGTTTACATGTTTTCTATTTGTTGAGCTTTGTATTTTAGTTCTGGTATTGTCAGTTATCTTTACTTTATGCACATATTCTTGTGTAAACGATGAGAGTGATTTGACAGGCTTTGATTTTTGAAGTTCATTCTCAATGAAAAAAATCAGTTCATTTTACATTTATTAAAATCTAACTGATAAATACTTTTGAATAGATCACAGATTCTTCAACTGTATGCTGTTGTAACTATCAGAGTGCCATAAATATGTTGAAATATATTTGTATGTCAATATTTATGAGTTAGAAATCAACTGTAGGCCTGAAATCAACTGTAGGCCTGAAATCAACTGTAGACCTGAAATCAACTGTAGGCCTGAAATCAACTGCAACTGTATACCTGAAATCAACTGTAGGCCTGAAATCAACTGTAGGCCTAAAATCAATGCCAGACCTACCATATTTAGCTTCTTGGTGTCAATATTTAATTTTTCTTGGCCAGGAATGAAAATGTTTATGACAACATGCTTTTTTGGTCACTATTCTTTATAACTTTTGTTACTTTGATGGTTTTAAAATTGTTTCTGTCAGTTAAACATAAACTAATAAAACAATGGAAACAAATAATTTTAGAATATTTATTTATCTTTCATTCACCAATTTCGTTTTACTTGCAGCAAATCTGTGAACGTGCTTAATCTAGCTGGCAACCAATGAAAAACATTTTGCACCTGAAATAATTGTTCTTGATTTTTAAAAAAAAATCTTTTTACCTTTCTTTTATAATCACTTGTGTGTAGGGCCTACTCACTAAGTCACTGAAGCTATGTTATGGTCAAGACTTCAAGTGCTCACTCTTGTAATATCTAAAGCTTTTGGCCTCTAAAATTCATGAGGTAATAATTAAACGGTATTTAAATACCCCTTTGAAAAGTTTGAAATGTCGAATAATTATAAAATGAGTAAATGAGGACAAATTACTTAAAGGTTATGATCAGCATTGGATCACTATACATGATAAATAACGTTTTATTCTATGTGGATTGGCAAAACACTGTCACATCATTTGTCTGTTAAAAGGTGGCAGACAGAAAAATATTTTATTCAGTGTGTGAGGTGAGCTTGCTAAAAGAAAAGCCATTGGCCAAAGAAATGAAGAGTGGTTTGATTGTGTCGCCAAAAAATCTACCTCCCAATTCACAATGATAGTTTGTGTCTTTTAATCTCCTTGAGCTTGACCCTCCTCTAATTAAAAACAAATAAAAAAATATGACCGTATTCATCAATGTCAATTGACGACATCAGTAGGGAGCGGAGGCAGTCCGAAAATCTCAGTGTGGATTTTAATTTACTTATAGACAGAATTGATTGATGGTACTAAACTTGATAAATTTTTATTTTATTTTGATAATAAATAATTCTACCAAAAATAGGTATCTGTTTGATTTTGTTTGGGATTTGTGGGGGGGGGGGAGGGGTTATGTGGCTTAATAATGACGCCTCTGTTGGTAAGACTGTTGGATAACATCTCACGGGGCCTCCTCGCAGCTCATTGTCAGCAGGTGTTCAAGGTTTATAGTAAGCTTCAAACATAGGCGTGCACCTCAATGTGGGAGGGTTGACAAATAATGGGAAACAGTCGATTTCGAACTGCCCCCAGGATTTCAACAACCTTTTGACATGATGAATCCCCCACTGAAAATTACAGTGCAATTAGGGTGGATGTTGGTGTATGTGGGGGGGGGGGGGATGTTGGGGATGGCGTAATGTTTATTCTTCAGGTACCTGGCTACCTGGCTGGACGGACAACCTGGCAACCTATCTCACAGCTGGATAGCAGGTGTTGTATTGATAATGAAGCAAATATTTGAGTGCTTCATGTCAGACGAATCAATGTTTATAACAACACATTACTTCACATTTATAAGAACAGTTGCACATAACCACACATTATTTCACATGTATAACAGCGGTTGCAGAAAACCACACATTATTTCACATGTATAACAGCAGTTGCAGACAACAACACATTATTTCATATGTATAACAGCAGTTGCAGACAACCACACATTATTTCATATGTATAACAGCAGTTGCAGACAACCACACATTATTTCATATTTATAATAGCAGTTGCAGACAACCACACATTATTTCATATGTATAACAGCAGTTGCAGACAACCACACATTGTTTCACATGTATAACAGCGGTTGCAGATAACCACACATTATTTCACATGTATAACAGCGGTTGCAGACAACCACACATTATTTCATATGTATAACAGCAGTTGCAGACAACCACACATTGTTTCACATGTATAACAGCAGTTGCAGACAACCACACATTATTTCATATGTATAACAGCAGTTGCAGACAACCACACATTATTTCACATGTATAACAGCAGTTGCAGACACCCACACATTGTTTCACATGTATAACAGCTGTTGCAGACAACCACACATTATTTCATATGTATAACAGCAGTTGCAGACAACCACACATTATTTCATATGTATAACAGCAGTTGCAGACAACCACACATTATTTCATATGTATAACAGCAGTTGCAGACAACCACACATTATTTCATATGTATAACAGCAGTTGCAGACAACCACACATTATTTCATATGTATAACAGCAGTTGCAGACAACCACACATTATTTCATATGTATAACAGCAGTTGCAAACAACCACACATTATTTCATATGTATAACAGCAGTTGCAGACAACCACACATTATTTCATATGTATAACTGCGGTTGCAGACAACCACACATTATTTCATATGTATAACAGCGGTTGCAGACAACCACACATTATTTCATATGTATAACAGCAGTTGCAGACAACCATACATTATTTTAATGTATAACAGCAGTTGCATACAACCACACATTATTTCATATGTATAACAGCAGTTGCAGACAACCATACATTATTTCATATGTATAACAGCAGTTGCAGACAAACACACATTTTTTCATATGTATAACAGCAGTTGCAGACAACCACACATTATTTCACATGTATAACAGCGGTTGCAGACAACCACACATTATTTCATATGTATAACAGCGGTTGCAGACAACCACACATTATTTCATATGTATAACAGCAGTTGCAGACAACCATACATTATTTTAATGTATAACAGCAGTTGCATACAACCACACATTATTTCATATGTATAACAGCAGTTGCAGACAACCATACATTATTTCATATGTATAGCAGCAGTTGCAGACAAACACACATTTTTTCATATGTATAACAGCAGTTGCAGACAACCACACATTATTTCATATGTATAACAGCAGTTGCAGACAACCACACATTATTTCATATGTATAACAGCAGTTGCAGACAACCACACATTATTTCATATGTATTTTGTTTTGTTTTTGATTAGCGTCTGCTACTTGCACTGGTCTTTCTACAGTTTATCGGCACATTTCCAGACACTAACAACGCAGGTGATCATTGTAAGGGACGGCCCTGACTCCGCCCATCTTAGGTAGTGTTACAGCTTACCGCACCTATCTACTTTAGACATGTATACCAGATCAGACTAGTTGACGTCACGGAAGTAGAAAACGCGTTCAAAGTCGTTTCAAACTCGACATTTTTATAAATATGCGCACCAAACAGAAGCCTATTTAACAATTTCACGTAATAATAGAAAACTTTCTAGCCTATTTAACATTGCCACGTAATAATAGACAGCTTACTAGCCTATTTAACAATGTGCCGTAATAATAGAAAACTTACTAGCCTATTTAACATTGCCGCGTAATAATAGACAGCTTACCAGCCTATTTAACAATGCCATGTAATAATAGACAATTTGGTAGCCTATTCAACAATGCCGCGTAATTATAGACAATTTACTAGCCTATTTAACAATGCCACGTAATAAAAGACAATTTATTATACAGCCTATTGGTTTAGCAACTTTTTTTTATTTCAACATTTTTTTTTACATCTTCCTATCTCAGGGAGACACCTTCCTGTCTCAAGGAGACAGTTGTGTGGTTTTCTCTGGAACTTGTGTAATCACATACTTTAGTAAAGCTAAAATGAGGTGAAGGTGTGTGGCAACCTTTCACCGGTGATTTTAAATATGCAGTCTTGAGGGTACTGCTCCAAGGCAACCTCTCTCTCCCATCTACGGTGTGAATTAGTCGCACCGTAGAATAACCATACAAACCCTAGTAGAGGGCGTCGGTCTTAAACAACTACGTGGTCCCCCGGGGTGGTAAGGGGGGACTTTAGAGACGTTAAATATCCACCCCAACCCCTTAGAAAGTCCGGCCCTGTTGCTGCGTGAGCAGCAATCCGGCTGGCCAGGTGTTTCTTCTCTGGGGCTGCCACACTCAGCGGCCAATCGAGTGGAGGTCGAGTGTGGCGGTCTTAGGGGCGGAGCGTCCCTGGCGTGCCGCTTCGCGGCCCGATCGGAATAAAGACCACTGGGGGAGTGGTTGACGGCCGGTTTGGTTGGCGGGGTGGTGCGTTGGGGAGGACCATTGTAGTATTTGGATGCTGTGTGCCATCAGAGGACAGATGTCAGTAATTATAAAGTATAAAGGATTTGTGAATTTGTTTATTTTCTTTTAAATAGATGTGTTCCTGGGATTGTGTAGGGTGGAAGAGACGCACTTAGGACCATGGCAAATGCCTGGATCTGGAGATTCACGTTCGTGGTTTTCCTTATATGAGCTGTACTGATTTTTAAAAAATTAATAATTCAAAAAAAGATTTTGACCTGCGGCTAGGTCGGTCATGAGCGTGTAATGTAAGTTTTTTACATTGGTGCACAAAAATGAACTCCTTTTCCTGTGCGCGGTGCTTAAGTTAGCCTCTGCTCATTTACATGAGAACATTGTATTGAGTGTTAATTTATGTTACACAATTGACGCCCAGTGAGAGTAAGTGCCACCCAAGGCGGCGCCTCTGCTAGTGAGAATAATCTGTGAAAGACCATTAAAATGCGAAATGAGCAAGGCGTTGGTCGAAGCTTGGTTTACAAATTCAATCAAAGTTCAAAGCAAAAGGAAATGGTTCAACGTTCAAAGCAAAAGGAAATGGTTCAACGTTCAAAGCAAAAGGAAATGGTTCAAAGCTCAAAGCAAAAGGAAATGGTTCAAAGCTCAAAGCAAAAGGAAATGGTTCAACGTTCAAAGCAAAAGGAAATGTTTCAAAGCTCAAAGCAAAAGGAAATGGTTCAAAGTTCAAAGCAAAAGGAAATGGTTCAAAGTTCAAAGCAAAAGGAAATGGTTCAAAGTTCAAAGCAAAAGGAAATGGTTCAAAGTTCAAAGCAAAAGGAAATGGTTCAAAGCTCAAAGCAAAAGGAAATGGTTCAAAGTTCAAAGCAAAAGGAAATGGTTCAAAGTTCAAAGCAAAAGGAAATGGTTCAAAGTTCAAAGCAAAAGGAAATGGTTCAAAGTTCAAAGCAAAAGGAAATGGTTCAAAGCTCAAAGCAAAAGGAAATGGTTCAAAGTTCAAAGCAAAAGGAAATGGTTCAAAGTTCAAAGCAAAAGGAAATGGTTCAAAGTTCAAAGCAAAAGGAAATGGTTCAAAGTTCAAAGCAAA